AGTGCATTCGTTCGGATAGCGAAGGGTGCGGGTTCGAGTCCCTGCCTGGTCCGCGTGGATTTTTTTCTAGTAATATTTTCTTCAGTTATAAACATCGAGCAGCTACATGCTTACAAATTAAAAAATATCAATTCTTCCTTATCGAAGTCTGTTTAATAAAACATTCGCAGTGATTCATCATACGTCACCAAATTATGCGATTATTCTAACAAACTGCTAACTAGCCCAGTACCCTTAGTACCTTTACAATAGGGGTGATGACGGGGTACAGTAAACGAAATTCTATTTAGTCCGTCAGTTAGATGATCAAAAAATAATGGACACGTATTTTTTCTTTGGGCAATCATCCGAAAAATGACAAAGTTATAGCGCGTCAAAGTTTGGGAGTAGGGGCTCGTGACGTCACTTTTGAGTGACGTCACGAGCCCCTACTATAAGTGGTATTTTCCCTTATAAGTGTACTCAAACGTGACGTCATGCGACTTTTCAAATCATTATATCTCTGCAATGTTTATATTATGTGAAAAAAGAAAAAATACGTGTCCAATACTTTTTGAAAAATTTAGTCATCATCCCTATTACGAAAACTATAATAGTTTTCGTTAGCTCGCACTCGTACTTAGTGCATTGATTTTATTTTTAGTATTAGTTTTCATTTCAATACAAATAAACAGTGTTTAAATTCTATCATTAAATAATTTGCGTCTTCTTAAAATTTAAGTAATATTTGGTTACTTTTCACCAAATTGGACATAGAAACATAATTTACAATTGGGATGATGACTATTTTTTTTTCTTCGTTTATCAGGTAGATTATCAAAAAGTATTGGACACGTATATTTTCTTTTTTCACATAATATAAACATTGCAGAGATATATTGATTTGAAAAGTCGCATGACGTGACGTTTGAGTACACTTATAAGTGAAAATTCACTCAAAAGTGACGTCACGAGCCCCTACTCCCAAACTTTGACGCGCTATAACTTAGTCATTTTTTGGTTGATTGCCCAAAGAAAAATACGTGTTCATTATTTTTTGATCATCTAACTGACGGACTAAATACAATTTCGTTACTGTACCCCGTCATCACCCCTATTATGATAGTAAGTAAGCTGCTTCTATAATTTTTAATAAGAAGTAGGGTCTAGTAGGGCAAAGTTTAACAAGGGGTGCCCTATTTGAAATGAAATGAAATTATACTTTCATCATCATCATCATCAGCCTATTAATGTCCCCACTGCTGGGGCACAGGCCTTCCCTATGGATGGAATAGGGGGATTGGTCATTCTTGTATATGTATAAAATCTTTGACCATCAAATTTTTTTTTACAACTAAATGATGGTATTCTCCGAAATGTTTCCTTTCTCTATTTATAGGATGTATAACTGTTTTTCGCATTTTTAAATAAACATTTTCTAACAAAACCAAATCATCGTCCGATGAGTCCGACATTTTGCTTGATCTGCTTTAATCGGCTTCCTTTATGTAGGAAGGATCGGCGCCGATAGGCGCCGATAAGCGCCGATAAGCGCCGATAAGCGCCGATCGGCTTTCGGCTTTCTTTCTGTATACAGCCAAACGCGCTAACCACCTACGCCATTGAGCTCCTCGAAATTTTACACATACTTTACTCAAATGAAATTATTGAATGCTCTTTTGAATCGCTAATATTTTTTTCTACCAACCGTCCAGGACATCTTTTAGCTGATGAGAAGAATGGGCGCAAGAATCTCATCAGCCTTTAACAGAAGTAGCAACATTTACAAAAAAAATCATGTCACTAAGTCACTACCAATATAACGTCCACCCAAAGGAGACCCGGCACTTTTCATAGAAAAAATGCTAAACTTGTATACAGTTGAATTTGGTCTCAAAATAAAGCCAAAATTATTTGCTACATAAAACTACTTTTGCCTTATTTTTAGTGAATCGTGGAAAGAAGTTATTTAATGATTAATATTTTTTGATATAGAAACCCTTTTGATGACTAACCTACGTATTTGACATTGACAGCTAGCTGCTGATGACAAATATTGCCAGACTACGTTACCCAAATAGGAAACACAGATAAAAAAATTAAAAAAGTATACAACTTTGGCACAAAATGCCGGGTGTCCTTTGATTGCTGTGTCATCTATACTAATATTATAAAGAGGAAAGGTTTGATTGTATTGAATAGGCTGAACCGATTTAAAAAATTCTTTCACAGTTATAATTTTTATTATTTTTTAAAGCATGTAACTGCTTGATGTTTAAATCTAAAGAAAATATAACTAGAAAAAATTCCACGCGGACCAGGCAGCAGACGGGACTCGAACCCGCACCCTTCGCAATCCGGGCGAATGCACTGACCAATTATGCTACCGCGGCCCTCACGGACCGCGTCGAAATTCTTTCTAGCTATTCTTAAGCTGCAAGGCAGCGCCATCTCTTCGCATTATAGGTAAACCCACAATGTCAAATGAATACTTTTACAAGTATTAAACATTTGAAAGAAGAAATAGCAATTATAGTTATAATTTTTATTATTTTTTAAAGCATGTAACTGCTTGATGTTTAAATCTAAAGAAAATATAACTAGAAAAAATTCCACGCGGACCAGGCAGCAGACGGGACTCGAACCCGCACCCTTCGCAATCCGGGCGAATGCACTGACCAATTATGCTACCGCGGCCCTCACGGACCGCGTCGAAATTCTTTCTAGCTATTCTTAAGCTGCAAGGCAGCGCCATCTCTTCGCATTATAGGTAAACCCACAATGTCAAATGAATACTTTTACAAGTATTAAACATTTGAAAGAAGAAATAGCAATTATAGTTATAATTTTTATTATTTTTTAAAGCATGTAACTGCTTGATGTTTAAATCTAAAGAAAATATAACTAGAAAAAATTCCACGCGGACCAGGCAGCAGACGGGACTCGAACCCGCACCCTTCGCAATCCGGGCGAATGCACTGACCAATTATGCTACCGCGGCCCTCACGGACCGCGTCGAAATTCTTTCTAGCTATTCTTAAGCTGCAAGGCAGCGCCATCTCTTCGCATTATAGGTAAACCCACAATGTCAAATGAATACTTTTACAAGTATTAAACATTTGAAAGAAGAAATAGCAATTATAGTTATAATTTTTATTATTTTTTAAAGCATGTAACTGCTTGATGTTTAAATCTAAAGAAAATATAACTAGAAAAAATTCCACGCGGACCAGGCAGCAGACGGGACATTGTGGGTTTACCTATAATGCGAAGAGATGGCGCTGCCTTGCAGCTTAAGAATAGCTAGAAAGAATTTCGACGCGGTCCGTGAGGGCCGCGGTAGCATAATTGGTCAGTGCATTCGCCCGGATTGCGAAGGGTGCGGGTTCGAGTCCCGTCTGCTGCCTGGTCCGCGTGGAATTTTTTCTAGTTATATTTTCTTTAGATTTAAACATCAAGCAGTTACATGCTTTAAAAAATAATAAAAATTATAACTATAATTGCTATTTCTTCTTTCAAATGTTTAATACTTGTAAAAGTATTCATTTGACATTGTGGGTTTACCTATAATGCGAAGAGATGGCGCTGCCTTGCAGCTTAAGAATAGCTAGAAAGAATTTCGACGCGGTCCGTGAGGGCCGCGGTAGCATAATTGGTCAGTGCATTCGCCCGGATTGCGAAGGGTGCGGGTTCGAGTCCCGTCTGCTGCCTGGTCCGCGTTGAATTTTTTCTAGTTATATTTTCTTTAGATTTAAACATCAAGCAGTTACATGCTTTAAAAAATAATAAAAATTATAACTATAATTGCTATTTCTTCTTTCAAATGTTTAATACTTGTAAAAGTATTCATTTGACATTGTGGGTTTACCTATAATGCGAAGAGATGGCGCTGCCTTGCAGCTTAAGAATAGCTAGAAAGAATTTCGACGCGGTCCGTGAGGGCCGCGGTAGCATAATTGGTCAAATTCTTTCACGTTTAGAATTCTTCATTATCCCTGATGAACATAAGCTATAGAGTATTTTCAAAAGAGTTAGGGTTCCCTATGAAAACTTTAATAACGTAACCCAGAGTGTCAAAAAAATACCAAAAAATAACCTAAGTGTCGCCGCACACGGGCCACTAACCACAACCACATAACGCTGCCACCGGCATATTTCGGCACACGGTACGCCGGTGGCCGCCACACGCTACAAATCGTCGTTGCTCGCTTCTTGTGGCCCGCACCGGCCACTTAATGCGCCGATACAAAACGCTGCCACACGTCACTCACGCGATTCCCCACCCCTGTCTCCCTTACCTTAGTTGGCCGCTGTCGCGCGGTTCAGCCACTTTAGTAGCCGTTTCTAGCTTCTCGTGGCGGCGTTTGTGGCTGTGGCGTGTGGCCTGTGTGCGACGACACTTATATCGCTTACGCTGCGGAAATCATTGACAGTACAGCAAAGTGATGTATTAAAGTTTTAAAGAGGACATCAATATTTACAAAAAGTCAAGTTAACGCGGTAAACAATCAATATCCGCTTTAATTGTGTAGGTACACTTGACAAGTCGACTTCATCATCTCCGGGACGCATAAGTTCATGCAAATCTTAAATGGTCCGACCCAGATTTAGAGATCTCCACTCTTTCGTTGCCCCAGGACCTCACTGCTCTAAATCTACCCTGTAGATGACGATAAATAATAATAAATAATAAATAAATATTTCCGACACTCACACCAATTAGCCTAGCCCCAAAGTAAGCACTATAAGGCTTGTGTTATGGGATGCTAGGGTAACGGATAGAATACATATACAAGTATATTTATATAAATACATATTAAACATCCATGACCATGATGATGATCCATAGAGTACAAATGCTCGTATTCATCACACAAATATCTGCCCCCACCGGGATTCGAACCCGGGACCTCTCGAGTCGGCGATAGCCATGAAACCCGGCGTACAAACCACTCGGCCACGGAGGTCGTCAAATATGTTAAGTACAATAACGATATGTTAAAAAACTTGTTGGCTTACAGAACTCGATCTGATCCTGGCGTTTCACTGCTGTGAGCGTAGCCAGGAGGTGTCCAAGCAAGTGCTGGATCTGCACTTCACGCTCCGCACCCTGTTCACCACCTTCTTTAAGAATCGATGTCTGGACAAGAAGTCTGATCTGTGCCTAGACACCATGTGAGTACCAAAAGTGTATGCAACATTTTGTCGAATTTTAAAGTATGTTTATGTTTAAGCTTAGCACGTAGGTACATTGGTATCTATATATATAAAACTCAAAGGTGACTGACTGACATAGTGATCTATCGACGCACAGCCCAAACCACTGGACGGATCGGGCTGAAATTTTGGCATGCAGGTATAAGAAGAATCATAGATGAATGTCATTGTGTATAATACAAGCCTGAGAACAAAAACTGTAGTCTACACTTTAGCTCTATACCGAAGCGAAGCGAGGGCGGGCCGCTAGTTATACATAATTCTTGAAGGCTCAGCTACATCATAACATCTCTACTCAAGTACTTATAGAAGATATGATTTCGTTTTATTATAAGGCCCAGAAAATTATAACAATTTTTCTTTTCTTTTCTTACAATGGCGACCTTATGGGGCACACCAACGAACGGACCTCACACCTAGCCTCTCGCAAGTCTCACGGGTGCGAAACGGAGAGCAGTCCGCGCGGCTTACGAGTGCTTACGGCATACTATCCGCTAAAAATCATCATCATCATCATCATCACCATCATCAGCCTATTAATGTCCCCACTGCTGGGGCACAGGCCTTCCCTATGGATGGAATAGGGAGATTGAGCCATGAGCAACCACGCGGGCCCAGTGCGGATTGATGGGTGCTAACGACTGCAGATGCAGCCGGGACCAACGGCTTAACGTGCCTTCCGAAGCACGGAGGAGCTTGAGATAGTAATTTTTGGTCACCCATCCAATGACCGACCACTGCGAAAGTTGCTTAACTTCAACGATCGCAGCCGAACGCGCTAACCACCAAAACATGCGAATACCCTCTACCCCCGTTGAGGGATTTCACCGTGTCACCGAAAAGGGCAAAAGTTCTAATTTAAATTTTAAAATCAACTGTAAACTAATAAGAAACAGAAGACGATCGATTTGTGGGTTTCAAATTCCTCTTCCTTTTGCTTTTCAGATTGTACGCGCCCCTACCGATGCCTACCTTGAAGGGTGACCGTGCGGTGTACCTTCGACTGCTGGACCCCGACCCTCGTAACTTCTTCTTCCCAGAAGCCGTGAGGACCTTCATGATGGTGTTCGACCTGTGGCAGTACGAAGAAGGCACGTGGCCTGGGTAAGTTCGTACGTGATAAAATAGTAAATATGAAACTCACAATTCCTTTCAAAATTTTTAGTAGGTACTTATATTTATCACTCTACTGTTGGGGTACGGGCCTTCTCTATTAGATCGTTTGGTACAGCTGGAAGGTTTACATACTCATCACCGGCGTTTGTTTCTGCCCCTACTACTTCTAATACTGTAGGAGCACGAACACTTATTCCTGATTCTCCATCAGTAGGTCTTCTCAACCTCTTTTCCTATCTTTCAGGAATCTTTCATTGTATGGCTTTCACTATTGATTAAGGAAAGTTTGATCTACCAATTTCTATTTGTATTATTTAACTGACTTTATCAAATGCAACTGTAAATAGGGTATTTGATAAGTTTTAGAAAACGATCTCACGTTATTTACTAATGTCTATAGAGTCCATCATTCACATAGATCTATGTATATTCATCATTATGTTGTGGATTTTGGTAAAAAAAACTAAATCAAAAACTCTATTTTCAAGTTGCCGCGAAAAACGTATCTCTGGACAATATGGCGTCTCACTGGTGTGTGACGTCACACGACTGTTATTAAAACGTCAAACCATACAATTTAATGTCACTTTAACCGGAAGTTTATTTAGTTTATTACCAATCTTAAGCGTTATGGGTCACGTGACAAAAGACAAGAAAACTATTATCTTTATCGTGGGTTTATAGTAAAATTACGAATATTTTTTCCGTAAAAATAGTAAATACTCCTTCCAATATTCATTCTAAATATATATGCTAACAATTGGCACTTTATTTTTAATACTGTCAAATACCCTATTTTTCATTAGAAAAATAAAAACTTTATCCTTGTGCAGGTTCGTGCTCATGATCGACATGGACAAAGCGGTGATGGGCCACATCACGCGGCTGGAGATTATGGTCATCCGACAAGTCTTGTACTTCTTGCAGGTACGTGGCTAGTCGACACTACTGAAAGAAGTAGGTAAAAAATAAAATCATTTTTGAAAACTAAGAAACAGTACTAAGGTAATTAATAAATTTTAACTGAATTGCTAAGCATTATGCATCATGTAATATATTAATTGATTAAATAAATATTGCAGTGAATAGCACCTGGCACACCCCACGCTTTTTCAATTATATTTAAGATAAAATAAACTATAAACATGGCTTACTCTAAGGCCCTAATGAACTAAACAGAGAGTAGGTATAATTGTTTATACACACATCAAAAGTGTCTAGGGATCAACATATATTTTTGCAATAACTTTTCTCCTGATTGATATTAATTAAAATTTTCTTCAAGGATTCATCAAATAAAGTGTTTTCGTTTGTCACAGTAACGATAAACCAAGTCACCTTTGCATTAATAACGAAATTTGCCATTTTCCTAATAAAGGGATTTTTGACATTTGAACCACTAACACAAAAGTTCGAAAAAAAGACTGAAATAACAGTTTTCTCTAAAATTTTATTGGGTAACTTAAACAATTAATAATCCGTATTTCTACCGCGAACACTAACAACACAAGAACATCGGTTTGGCATACTCAAAATGAGTTCATCCAAATCACGCTGTGGAATGGCCGCCCATGTTCGTTGCAACAACAAAAAAAGGTCTTCTTGCGACTGTATACCCTCCATATTCGGCAGAGCTCTTCTCTGTAGCATATCCCATGCATGCTCAATCGGGTTCAAGTCTGGCGACTGAGCAGGCCAGGGCAGGACATTGATGTTAGCTGCGGCGAGAGTCTGTCTTACAACTCTTGCGGTGTGCGGTCGTGCATTATCATGCATTAACTGAAATAAGGGACCGATTTGCACTTGTAGAGGAACGATGACGTCTGATGCAATCGTCTCAGCATAAATTTGAGCGTTGAGGTTGCCTCTGATCCAAATCAACTCAGTTCTTCCGCCGATCCAAATACCCGCCCATACCATGATGGTTCCACCACTATAAGGATGGACTTCCTGGCAGGATTTTAATCGCTGTTGGCGTCCAGGGGTTCTCCAGTGTCGTATACGTCTTGTATCCGGTCTCATACCAAAACGAGACTCATCAGAAAAGCACACGAAACGCCATTGTTCTTCTGCCCAATTTCTGTGTTCAAGAGCCCATTGATATCGAATCCTACGATTGTGCATTGCTATAGGTGGTACCCGTAGCGGTCTTCGGGAATGAAGGTTCACTTCATGCAAGCGGTTTCTGACTGTTTGGTCGCTAATTAAGTTCCCTGAAGAGTGATGAAGCCTCACGGCTAACATCATGGCGGTTATTGTTGGAGCTCTTCGAGTTAAGATTTGAATGTATCGGTCTTGTCTCCGTGTGGTGCAGCGATACCGTCCTCCATGGCGCTCAGCCACGGTACCAGTGCTTCGGTATCGTGTCCAAAGTCGACTGATAACACTCTGACTTGTATTCAGAGCTAAAGCCACAGTACGTTGCCAGGAACCAGCTTCTATCATTCCCACGGCTCTGAGCATTTCTTCCCTGCTTAAATGACGTCGCCGCTCCATAATAACGTTGGTTTTAATCAGTAGTAGGGAAACAGTAGCACTAATAATGTCTTCAATGCGTTGTATGTTTTTATAGGGAAAATATTGACAGCTGATTTTCATCTTTTACTCGAATTTGATTCACAGTTCCTGATTCAAATTATGAAATGCACCAAAAAGGATCCATATAAATTTATAAAATCATAAATTTATTACAAAGCCACATCACTCAATCTCAAGAAATCCGCATAAAAATGCTTGATCCCTAGACACTTTTGATGTGTGTATTTGGCTTTTTAGTGCAGTCAATAAAAGCGTGTTTTTAGTTTTTTAAACTAATAATTTATTATTCTCTTTTTAATTTATTATTTCTTATATAAAGTGTCTAAAAGGATAAAGTATCAGAACTGCTCACTTGGAATATCGCTCCTGACACGTCCCCGTCCCCGGAGATGTATAGAATATGTACCAGAAGCTGATATGCTGTTTCTGATAACAGTAAAAAGGTTAATAATCAAATTAAATAAATTAATCAAAATCCTCCATTATTTCCCAAAAAAACGGGACTGTTCTAAGACATCTATAAATTTGAGATTCAAAGACAATTTAGCCTTACCCTCATCGAGTCTTAAAATCCATAGTTCAGGTCCACAAATAACCGTAGAACAAAACATTAAAAAGTGCACAAATTTTAAAACAATATTTATATATATAAAACTCAAAGGACTGACTGACATAGTGATCTATCAACGCACAGCCCTAACCATTGGACAGATCGGGCTGAAATTTGGCATGCAGGTAGATGTTATGACGTAGGTATCCGCTAAGAAAGGATTTTGATCAATTCTACCCCGAAGCGAAACGAGGGCGGGCCACTAGTTTTTTGAATAAAACCTTCTTTAGTATGCAAGAGTTTTTTGTTGAAAGGTAGCGTACTTGTAATCTAAAAAATTAATGTGATTGATTATATTTATGTGTATTTTGTTTATTTTATGTATATTGATATTGTAGTGCCCTAACAGGGTTTATGTTTGGATCTGACTCTAAATCTTAAGAAGTTGTAATTACCACATGAAACAATAAATATATTGAATTGAATTGAATTAATATTTTTATTGGGTAGATTGTAATTAGCCTAGTTGATTCCTAATCCCACGTCGTCATAACCGGCAAGAAGATTGCACATTCCAGAGTTTAGTGATGCTTATGCATAGAAAGAATTGATATGATTTGATAGTTTATTGATTTGATAACTTATAATGCTAAACTAAATGATTATGATATGGGACAATTGATATTGGGAACGCGTCCGCGCAGTGTGTTAATTTTTGCCACGGGAGCAACGTTCGACGCATCACCGCGGTCGTCGGTTCAAATCCCGCACTCGTATTTTTATTTTTTATCATATTTTTTTCTTTTTTTATATATTTGTTTTAGACCCCAGCGCCTGTTATTATTTTTATTTGTCTCCCTTTTATTTAGACTTTAAAATTATAATTGAAATTTTTGGATTAAAGATGGTAAACTGGGCGCCGGGCAATGCTGTTGTTTGCTGTGCTTGCCCAATAAAATATCATTAGGCCTGCCTCGCCATCTATTAATATCAAAGAAAAAAAATACTGCATAAATAAAATAAATAAATAATTATAATTGGATAAATTGATAAATAATGCTATGCGATAGCTTTATCGCCGCAGTCCCCGAGTGCCACACTTATTTTTTTATTTATTAATAGAGGGGTAACAGTATCGTAAACCGATGTTAAAACAATTCGCCATTCTGTTCCAGGAATGTATGCTGGTGAAACTCAAAGGAGTGCATTTCCTGAACGCTCCATACTTCATGGACAAGCTCATGATGCTACTGAAACCTTTCCTGAAGAAGGAACTGTTGGACACCATTTACATCCACCAGGTCAACTCGAATACCCTTTATGACCACATAAGCAAGGAAGCGCTGCCCAAAGAAGAAGGAGGGACATATAAAGACCACGCTACTATAAGAGGTGAGCAATTGAGCATATTACAATTGAACATCAGGTAAGGGTGACGATAGTAGAAACAATTTGAGATTGAAAATGTATTGTTCATAACACTCTAAGTTTTCTTGTTCATCTTCTTAGGGCCACTACCGTCAACATTCTTGATTAAAATTAAGGACTCTTATTGTTTAATAAATCATTCCATCTTTGTCAATTGTTTATAGTCAAATAAACAGGCAGGCATTTCCGGCAGCGGCGAATCATATATCATTTCAAAACTCGTTTTATATTATAACATGAACAGATAATTTTATTTTTGGAGTTTACTCCTTAAGAATCGATTTGCATATATAAGGGGCCCGGTATGAGAAAAATGTGAGGAGTGAAATCTATCGATGAATGACCTCGTTACGTTTTTGGTGCGCATCCTATGTCACGCAACTTTGACAAACAAAGATGAAGGATTGACATTAATATTTTTTTTAAAATCTGAACTGAATTTAAATATTGTTTCTGATAGAGCAATGGGGACAACGAGGTATAGTACAACCATTGATGCGGTATTTTTAAGATTCGTGAACCACGTATCTACGAACGTCCATGTGTCTTATTTTAGTTACCATAAACCACTTGTCACTGTAATTAATAATGCAGACAATGTTGATTTAATTAATATTTAAAAAAAAATGATAATAGTCCGATAATAATAATTACATAATTTATCAACATTCCTAATGATATATTTATGCACATCTGAAATTGACTATTGTAAAAAGTTTAATGTAAAATATTTCGTCGATTAGTTATTAATTTGTTAATTTACCCTTTCATACAGTATCAATATTTTTTAAGTTAAATAAACTCTTTTTGCGTCTGGTTAGACTATCGAACTTAAGGAGTAAACTCCAGTCGTGCGTCGGAGCTGACACACACAATTTTTTTTATTTATCCCCGATTAGTTTTAAATCATATTTAACAGTTGAACAATTTGGTAAGGATAATATCCACCCTATCTATAAGTAACGTCATATTTTTATGTGTGGCAGCTTATAACGGCGAATCACTATGGCAAATGTCAATCAGTCCAGTCATGCATGACATTCGTGAAATCGTGGTGAATTTATCATACCAATTTATGATTGATTCTTCTTGAAATAAAATGCGCAGAAAATACCTTATAATATAATGAAAGATGAATAACATTAACAGAATAACTATACTAATTTATTGAATGGAATACATTTGATGTTATGGCAACACAAAATAGATAAATAAACTTGCCATTTGCCAATCAACAATGATATCATTTTAAATTATTTTTATAAGAAACGGGGTATTTTGTCAAACTATTTACAATTAAGTGCAGTACATCTCATAAAAATTGGGAATCTGTCGCAGACTCAATACCAGGCACCATACAAAATTGAACCGTCTCCTTTTAGTTTTAAAATTCGATCCAACAACTTTGATGCAAATGGTTATTGCTATTTCACTGAAATGCCAAAATATTTTTGCATTCTGCAGAGGAGCTGATCCAGCGTTTGAAGTCTAACGCGGGCCTGATCCGCGAAGAGAACAAGAAGCGAGTCAACGAAGCACTGCGACCTGGCAAGGCGAAAACCGTAGAGGACATCTTCGGCATACAGGGCAGCTTCAAGAAGCTAGACATAGACTGAGCCCTGCCGTAGTGGAATAAAGTTCAAAGTTTAATGATAATGAGCAAACTATTAAATGTAGGTGTAAGGATAAGAATAGTTTTATGGTTAAGAGATGAGGAGATCGATGATGAAGTAGTTATTCCGCCGCTTTAAAAAGTTGCTTGGCTTTTTGTCGAGTTTTAGAAAACGATCTCACGTTATTATGTTTTAATGTTTATGGTGGTCATAAAAAGTGGACATGCATAATCCTGTAGTGTATTTCAGTAAAAACAAAAAAAAAACCATTTCCAATTTGTCGCGAAAATATTTCTCTAGACATTAAGGGTGTATTCCGTAATATATACCAGTATACCGGCCAGTGCTAATGACGTCATGAATCGACGCTATATTGGTGAATTGTTCTGAACTCGGCAGTGCACTGACGTCATAAATCGAAGAAATATTAAAAATAGTGTGAATAAAGAAGATTTTTTTATTCACCTCATCAATTAAAAGGAATTCTACTTGTTCGGATGCTATTATTGTTCTTTAATTATAAAAGAAATAAAATTCGAATGCATCTCACGCACGCTCGGTCATACGTCATAATCGTTTTCCCGGTAAAAATATGGTAGCATACCAGTACAATATGGCGTTGGATTCGTGATGTCATTACCACTGGTCAGTATACTGATGTACAAAATATAAAATTACAAATATTTCGGAATACACCCTAGGGCTCTTGCATGTCACGTCACACGACTTTAATTAAAACGTCAAACGATACAATGAATTGTCATTTGAACAAGAAGTTTACTCATAGAGGTATAAGAATAGAGTAGGGGAGTTATGTACTCTACTACAAATGGAAGTGTCCGTCTAGTAGAAACAGAAAGAAGATGAGGATATCTCTCTCTCTTGTGACGCTGCGCAGTCGTGTGGTTGGTCGGTATTACTGCGCAGTCGTGTGATTGGTCGGTATTGCTGCGCAGTCGTGTAATTGGTCGGTATTCATCCGTATGTTTTTCAGCCAATGCACATTCGCAATTAGAGAGAGAACGGCTAGCCATCTCTCATCTTCTTTCTCTATCTACTAGACGGACACTTTTAGAGTCAACTTTCCCACTCTATTCTTATACCCCTATGGGTTTATTAGCGTTCGGTTTTTTATTTTAGTCTACGCCGAAGATTGGCGACGTGACCATAGAACAAAAAAAATACATTTTTATTTCACAACATTTTATAGAAGTTATTAATTATTTGTTCTCTCACAATAGTAGAATCGCTGCTAATGTTCATATTAAATACAGATGCCACAAATTGGTACTTAATTTTTCGTACTGTCAAATGGTCTTTTATATTGTTAATGTATGCATTAAAGTGATATATTTATACTGATTTATATTATCTTGAGCTTCTCTTTGATTGTAGCCTCGGCTTTAACATGAAAAAAGTTGTGTAATTTCATGAAAAATTAAAACAATTATGATTTATTTTTATTATAGATGCCCATACATATATTTTGTGAAATAATTTTAATTTAATTTCAACGGTTATGCAGAGGAATGACGTGATCTAGCAGATGTTAGCATAAATTTAAGGGATGATCATTTTCTCTTTAAGTAGAATAAATATTTGTGTTGAGTAAGTGTTAATAAGGTAGCTTCATCATCAGCCTATTAATGTCCCCACTGCTGGGGCACAGGCCTTCCCTATGGATGGAATAGGGAGATTCGGCCATGACCTACCACGCGGACCCAGTGCGGATTGGCGGGTGCTAACGAATGCAGATGCAGCCGGGACCAACGGCTTAACGTACCTTCCGAAGCACGGAGGAGCTCGAGATAGTAAATTTTTGATCACCCATCCAATGACCGACCACTGCGAAAGTTGCTTAACTTCCAACGATCGCAGCGGAACGCGCTAGCCATCTGCGCCATCGAGCTCCTACGGAACGGAATAAGGTAGCTTATTAACACAGGGGGGCTCGGGGGGAGGGGTCGAAAGAACCCCCCAACCTCACCTCACACATACCGCGTAAACTAAGAGAGTGCGAACGTTAACTAAGGGACATGACGTCACATAACGTAACTCGTGACATGACGTCACACTTTAAATTAGGTACTATTTGTCAAAAATGTATGTATGTATTCGACGTAACGGGTCCTTAGGCAGCATCGTTTCATCAATAGTAAAATTTTAGTACCGTTAAATACCATAAATAAAAATATATATTTTTTTGACATGGCTTCAACTGTAGTCAAATTTAGCAATGTTTCAAACAACGCGCCACCTAAGGCCACGTTGTTTCATCGATACTTATATTTTTTATAATTCTTGGTCTATGGTTGTTATAAGAAAGGGTTTGTCATTTCAATAAAAATTTGAAAATAAAATTGCATGTTTTATTTATATTTTGTAAACTATTAACCCGGTCTCGCTTCGCTTTGTTTTTTTGAAGTGAAAACTTCTTTAGCGGCGTTGTACACTGTTTTTTGTAAGGGTAAAAAATGTTAAACTCGCGTCAGGTTAAGCACGTGGGCTGATCGCATCATGACACACAGTAAAATTGGAAAGGTTTTTTACTTTCAATATATTGGACGAAACATCATCATCATCATCAGCCTATTAATGTCCCCACTGCTGTGGCACAGGTCTTCCCTATGGATGGAATAGGGAGATAGAGCCATGACTCACCACGCGGGCCCACTGCGAGACCAACGGCTTAACGTGCCTTCCGAAGTACGGAGGAACTCGAGATAGAAGATTTTTGGTCACCCATCCAATGACCGACCACTGCGAAAGTTAACCGTAACTGATTTCCGAGGCGCCGAGGGCCACGCGTGAAGACGTGGAGAGGGGGTAAAGACCAAGACCACCCCGTTCGAACGGGATTTTCTTAGACTTAGACCTGGGTTTTCTTAGCATTGAACTCAACCAAGTTCTCTTAGTAAGTTTAATATTATTGTTAATAACATTAGTTTGCCAATAATGGGTCTGGTACGTAAGGGGTTCTCTGAACTTACGACCATATTTGGCAGTGTTCTCCCCTTTTAAATAATTATAGAGCAGGAAAGACTGTTGTGGTTGTTCTGTGATTGGGCAAATATTTGAGTTCTGTAGTAAATTCCGTATGTAAAAATGTAAAAAAAAAACTGTTTACTGTTTAGCGCATGATGAGGTCATCTTTAATTACAGTTATATTATACCCTAAAACTTAAGTATATGTGTAAGTTTGTTTGTATTACTATAGCTGTGTTGATGGTTCATAAATGAATCAATAAGTTCTTGGTACCCCATTCAGAAATGTGGTGCAAAGCCTGATTGAGCTCAATGACAAGATTCTCCCGTTTCTCCTTGGTTACCGCCTGCCCAGCCAAGCAGCGGCTGGGTAGGCCATACAGGCGGTCCGAGATACCCCGCATGCACTGTACTATCGTCTGCATAACAATGAATATTCCCAAGAGGAATTAAGTCATTAATATAGAGCAGAAAGAGAGTGGGGGATAGGACGGAGCCCTGGGGAACGCCGGCATTCACTGACATGAACCGCGAACTGCTGCCATCCTTAAGGACACGAATTCTACGCTCATGCAGGAAGTCAGCTACCCAAGAACAGAACGGAGCCGGCAGACCCTATGCTGAAAGCTTGGAGAGAAGGCTTTTGTACCAAACCTTGTCGAATGTCTTGGCAATGTCAAGGCTGATAGCCAACGACTCGCCCCGCTTGTCGATAGCCTCACCCCAGATGAGTCAAGTATGCTAGAAGATCACCCGTCGATTCTTTATATTTATGTTTTCTTTTTGGTAACTAAGGTTTACTTATGTTATTCAGCTGTGTACATTTTAGCTGACCTTTGGCTGTTTAATGTACCTTTATAAATAAATAAATAAATTATTATACTCAACCCGTTTTATTGAAGAGTAGGAAGGAAACAAACATATAAAAAATGTGTGCGCAGTGTAATGGTAATGAGTTGTATTTTTAATTTTATGTACTTCTGTGCATTCATTAAGAACGTCTTTATAAAACCATCTTTTTCGTAATACGAATATTTCGACATGAGTAGGTATAGATATATTTTTTTAAATAAGGTTTAGAAAATCGGTGTGGTTGTTTAATTAACACTTACCACTAGCAAGCTCTGTGCTAGACTGGCTACTCAGTGTTACCAGGTCTCCAGATTTTACAGGAGATCTCCTGTTTTTCTGAAATTTCTCCTTTTCTACTGTTTTTCTACATGAATCTCCTGTTTTTCTTAGAATACGATTTTCTTTTTAAAATTGCATGTTGAGTTATATTTTCGGCCATTAATAATGTAGGTAACCTGATTAATTTAAAATAAATGTTATCTAAAAAAAACTATCTTTCGAAGCCACAGAGAAACACATTCGTTACTGGTCTTATTTACTACTGGTATTATGTTTATCTTGATTTGATTTACCAATTCTAGTTTTATTCTATAACGCCTCCCGATTTTTAAAACCTGGACCTGGCAACACTTTGGCTACTAGTCTCGACACCTGGTTTAGTGAGCGGCGCAAAAATATTATAGAACATGATAATGTTACATTGTAATAAATAATTGTAATATTAAATTGTTCACATATAGTGATCAGGACAACTTTAAACCCCTTCACAGATGTAGCTATAATATATATTAATATGAATCATAGCAAGACATATTACAACATAATTATTTTCAATATAAATTTTTTAGTGACTGTGAGGAAAGAGAATGGGCGTGGCGAAAAACGGAACTAACATTAAGATTTTTATTTGGCAATCAAACCCAGTAATCTGTAAAACGTCAGTGTTGTATTCATACGGATTTGTTTGTTGTTGTGATTTCTTGCGGTTTTTGTATTTAATCATGTCTAAAAGGGAAAAACCCTTACAAATACGGTAGAAAATCACTACAGCGCCCTAATCACATTCTCTTTCCGCACAGACATGTTATAAAGTCTTTTATAACATATATTTCTATGGCGTCACCAAAATATGTCGATAAATATATCTCGGTATATTTTGGCATATTAGTATACATTTTATGATACGGACTGTTCCATTTTTCACCATACGCCTGCCAAATTATATAAATATATATATTATAGTATAGCTCCCTGTGTAGTTTGCTTTTATAAAATATATATCTTGATATATTAACATATACTAGCAAACCAGTGAACCAAATGTTCACCAAAAAAAAAAACAAAAAAAAAATGTATTTAATTAGTTGAGAACTTCGGAGATTTTGTGTGGTTTCGTCTGAAATAGAAATCACGTGATTTCTCGAAAACCGGAAGTGCTACGTTACTCACATCCGGTTTGTAGTCTTATCAGACTATTCTTAACTTATAACTTAATCATTCTCTATATCTATCTCTTACGGTTTGGCCGCTGAAACAGCACCACGGACGGAGCTACGTCTGTGACGGGCTTAAACTATTCTATGTCACACATTACAATGAAGGTCACGTCAAAATGATAACGTTTAACTTAATGCTCATTAACTACTATTTACGGCTAACGGACGTGTTAAATAAAGGAATTACACAAAATTGTGATCATCATAAAAAATATATTCATTGTAGTTAATAACTTTTGCACCGGATGTATGCAGTCAACCGTTTTGCGTTTTATCTGTAGGCTTTCAGTATAAATATGGAGGCTGATTTTTTAGTTCGCTACAACATTTTAAATTTTAGAAAATGAAACTCTTGGCATTCGTACTTGCTCTGCTGGCTATGGCCTTGGCCGTTGTGGTGAGTTCAACTGCAACTATTATAAAATTTTAATCAAATTAAATTAAATTTTAATTTTTGATGACCTCCGTTACCGGGTGGTTTGTACGCCGGGTTTCATGGTGTCGCCGGCGGGGTAGATATTTGTGTGATGAATACGAGCATTTGTACTCCAGTCATGGATGTCTGATGTGTATTTTTTATATAAATATATTTATATTTGTATCAGTATATGTATTCTATCCGTTACCCTAGTATCCCATAACACAAGCCTTACAGTGCTTACTTTGGGCCTAGGCTAATTGTTGTGAGTGTTGGAAAAAAATATTTATTTATATAATTTATTGTTTGAAAAATCAGACATTATATAAAAGCATTGGTCGTTCAGTGAAAGCTCGCCTGTTACGCGGGCGGTCCAGATTCGATTCCCAGCCGAGGAAGTAACAATGATTTTTAAAATTTCACTTGCATCGTGATTTCGTGAAATCACATTATCATTTTACTAAAAATTTTTTATTTGTGAAAGCAAAGGGTAATTAATATTCCTATACATTCATTCAAATTCACGTAAATAAAGAAATAAAGATTTTATTTTTAATTTTAATAGGACTACTTTCCACGCTTTTTTTGTTACAGGCTTTTATCTCGTTTAATTGAATAAAGTTTCTTGCTGTTATTTTTTTTCAATCCTTTTTGTTCATGCTCTCATAAAATTCTCAGTATATATTTATTCGTACACTATAATTATTTCTACGCATCATATTAACATATGAACATGTGGGTGACTTCTCCTATTATCTAAAGAGCTGATAATATGCGGAGACAGCTTTATTTTGTTATCATAAATATGGCTTATGTGATATATAAGTCGCGGCACGAAAATCTAGTGCTGGCTGCTGGCGTTATTGCGCAGAAGTAAAAATTAAGAACTCGAACCCGTACCCTTCGCTATCCAGGCGAATGCTGGATAGCGGTGAGGGTTCGAGTCCCGTCTGCTACCTGGTCTTCGTGGAGTTTCTTCTAGTAATATTTTCTTTCTTCGCTCCAACCGAACCTGTGTTCCACGACACTCATGTTTTTCTATATAAGTTTCTTGCTATGTAATTTTGTTTTTATATTCTAGAGCGGCATGGCCACCGGAGGTGCATCAGCGGGTATCCGCGAAGGCAAGGCGAAAGCTCCTTGCGGGGGCAACGGGGGGCCGCCACCACCACCACCACCTACCAGTTAGTATTTTTTGAAGAGACACCTTCTTATGGGAGGCTAAGCCGCTTCGTTACGTAACGCGTTACGGCGCCGGTTTGTCTGGCTTCCCTTCGCCTTTTCACCCTCGAATCCTCTTTACAGCATCAAATCCCCTTTTCTCCTACCAATCTCCTGTGCTCAAAAAAGGATAGTTTAAGTTATCACGCGTTTTTCTTCTATGACGGATGGGATCTTCTAATTGCGCAAGCCATGCATGCGTGGTATATTCGGCCGGTGGAAAGCAGGGTGCTGCCTGCTACATAGAGCTGCAGACTGCTGACAAGGAAAAGGGGCATTCGCTCATGCAAGCATAAGCGACTACCCCCAGCTATTTAACGGTAGAGTAGGGGTCGAGTCATTTGCCAACCTGGCTATATAAAAGAATCAAAAAAACTGATGAACTGCTCCACACCTATTGAGAAGTCATATTGATCTCTCAACATGAAACTGACAAGCGTTATGCATTCATGTTGTAAGATACAAACATATTGCTATAGTATAGTTACCTAATGCTCGATAATGATCATGATGGTCTGCCAGACCGCGAGTATAAGTTTTTTTGTGTCTGTGGCTTTCTGCGTTTTACACAGAAATTTTGCCAATGTCCAGTAGTGAGAGAGACACGAGAAAGACTGCTCGGTAGAAACAGATTATGGTGGTATAAAGTAAATTACCGACTATACGTTCTTCCTTGAGCGTTTAAGTGTTTGTGTCTGAAATGGCAAGAAAGGAGTTGTTGCTCCGATTTTAATATCTGGTACCCCTGGCCACTTACCCACGATGGGTAACAGGTTTAATTAATGTAAAAAAATAAACCCCTACTTCCTTTTGATTTCAGATTCCACTGGCTGAATAATATGCATTCAAACCATACCTCTGCTGCTTTTGTAAAAGGACCCCGATCTTGAAAATAAATCTAAACACTTAAAACGTATTTTTATTTGGATGATCACAGTCACGGAACGGAACGAACAAGTGGCAGTGTGTATTTGATACTTCTCAATACCTCTATTTTATTACGATTTTAGATTTGGATCTTTGGCTTTAGGCAAATAACCACAGATGTGTTCAAGTTTTTCTTCTTCATCGTCGTTTTCTCATGGCTGAGGCTCGTGACCTTTCAGGACAGCAGGTTAATAATTATTACTTTGTGTGTCAAAAATTTCAGCTCGCTACTCAACCACAGCTAATGGAAAGCTGAGCCGAAGACATGAAAGAGCTAGACAGACTTATCAGCAGGTTTTGATATGACTGTCTAGCTCTTTCACGTCTTCAAATGTTTCGGTAAGATATTGAAAGTCTACTCAAATGCTATCGATATCTATCGCATTTTCAATTTCGTGAGCTGATTTACTTATTACTCGCCGCGTATGTGCTCGCTTACGTCTCAGTCCATCGAGTTCTCATTTTGCTGATCCAACCGAATTTTTCACGGTCACCATTATGTAGGAATCTATTGCAAACCGAAACGTCAATGTCAAATTTTGTATGGAAACTTGAACAGCAGCGGCACAAAGTACGTAACGAGAACTAAAAATCAGTCCACATTTGACAATGACATTTCGGACTCGCAAATGATACGAATTCGATATTGGTTCGTGCTAGGGGTACTTATCTACTAATTACTCGTCGTGTATGTGCTTGCTTACGTCTTAGTCCATCGAGTTCTGGTTTAGCTGATCCAATGAAATCTATAGCTGTGATAATATTCCCTACATTGATTTAAAACAAACTATGAAATGTAGACTAATACTTTTTCTTTTTTGTTCTACACCAATATAACATGTCACTATCTAATCGCTATAGTAACAATCTACACAAAACCATAAATAACGAAAATGTATTCTACAACACCTTTTGAAACAACCAGAAAGCTTAATAATTCTTGTTTTAGGACAGCAATCGATCTCCTTGAGTCAAATATTGATAAGTGCAGTAATGATTTTCACTCTATGCATATTAATAGTGATTTCTGTAAAGCCTAGTGCAGGTATTAACTTTACATGCTAAAGTAAAGTTAGTAACTTTACCTCATACTTTAGACATTCTTTACAGCAATAATATAGTAACTGTAGCCGCTTTCTATACTAACAATGTAAGATTACTTGTTGTTTATTTATTGTATGTTCTAAATTGTGTAATAGAAGGTGACTCCATAATTATCTCTGAAGTCATTTTTCAACTTGACGACTCTGTGTATAATAATACAGGGAAAAAAGCAGCTCTTCTCAGTATAAGGTCTCCCGCCATAAATTTGCAAACCGTTGGCGTAATTTTTTGACCTTCACAAGTGCTTGTAACAGCCTCGACTGAATAAATGATTTTTGATTTTGGTTTTGACTGGCAAAAACTTGTTTTGCGAGGCTTTCATTTGCTTATTTAAGGCGTTACGTTTCTGATGGAATAATTCTAACATGATGTTCTTTCTTGCATCCAGTCTGTATCTGCTTCGTTAGTCATGGTGGAGAGAAGATTAATTAAAACAAAATAAATTTTAAGGATTTGTTTTATTTTCTAACTGCTAACCGTAAAACCACATTTCACAAACACCTTTCCAATTAAAAAACGTTTTAAAACCATACTTTTACCAATCTGAAACCTTAAACACAGAGCTTAATAATTATATTTATCGTCTTAACTAACAGTCAACGAGATTAACGTAATTTTCAGCATTAGATAGATAAGTTTCACAATGATTCATCGTATTATATGTCTCCAGAACATCTTTTTCCAAATATTGATTGATAAACGAAGCACATCTTAAATCTTGCAGCACTTGAGCGAATGGTAGGGTTAGTTTATGAACAACAACTTTCTGCTTACTAAATTTCTGTAGCGTTCTATACGCTCCATCATTGTCAGAACTATTAGGTTGAAGAAAAACAATTTTAGATTGAAGCTGTGAAACTCGAGGTTCGTATAGCAGGGCTTGCTTGATACGATAGTAAGGGAATGTAAGACTCGATCGCGTGTACTGAGCTGAGAGTGAAACACATCCAAGTAAATTTCTAACGCACAATTCGATACGGTTCTCCATTTCTACGATTTCCTCAATTTCGAAGCTTAGTTCCGTCCCACATATAAGCTTATACATATGCTTCAAAATTGCCGTTTGCAATTCTTTATCGTTTTTATATTTGTCAACTTCTGTTTGAAGAATGGTCCTGAATTCATCCGGTGTAGCTCCGATCAAGTATATTGTGCCCGAGAGTCCTGCGAACGATAAACCATAGTGATTAAATTTGTTGATTCAGGTATAACGTTTTATTATTAAATAAAAAAAAAACAAAACTTAAAACCGACTTCAAAATCTAAAAAGTAAAAAATAATATCTGGTTCATGGTTTGGAAGTCGGGCGGGTCAAGATTGAAAGACGTATTATTACCAATCAGAAACGAAAATCTATTTAATGTTTCAATCTTGAGCCCGCCTGAACATATTGTACAATTAATAAAAAAAAAAATTGCCTTTGCCTTGCCTTTTGATTCGCTTAAAAATGTCTAACAAACCAATTTTTTCTTTGTAATGAGAATGCGTAATTGTATTTAAGACCTTCTAATAACAAGGAAACGGTGTTAATATGGAGTAAACATATTCGAGATTTGACTTCTATTTTCAAAAAAATAGATCATGATACGGATAAAATTGAAATATATACCTAGTAATGACCTAGTTTAGATTTGTAACGGAAACTCTTTAGATTATTGGGCATTATAAAAAAAGTTGGTAAACTAGGCAATTATGTCACAGAAAGGCGGAACAATCTGGCACGTCAAATATAGAAAATAAGGAGTTTGTTTCCAGGGATACGTACATATAAACAAAAATGTACCTTGTTGTTTTGAAATGGTTGTAACAAAATAAGCTTCTGGCAGGTATACCATACAAAATGTCATTGAGAAATTGCATATGTTTTATGCTCACCATGCTTCTCTAAGATAGCTGCAGTTTCAAGGGCGATCAACACGCCACTTTCGTATCCCAACAGATAAAAATTATCTTTTACTGATATCGTCTGCATGAGGATCTGAAACAAACGCACATCTAAATATATAAAAGAATAAACTGATTGACTGACATATCAACGTACAGCCCAAACCGCTAGGTCTAGAGACTCCAAATTTGGCACGTAGGTTCCTTATGAGGTGTAAGGGTGCACTAAGAAAGGATTTTCCAAACTTCACCCCCCAAGGGGTTAAAATAGAGAATGAAAGTTTCTATGAAAAATCTTATTTCTTGAGTTAATTAGACTTGAAACTTGGCAAGAATACTTATCTAAATAAATTCATATTATTGTCAAAGTTTCAATAATCATTTTAATGGCATATAGCAATTTTCTACAAAGTATCATTGTTTCATATATGATTCTGGTAAAATACGTAAGGTTAGTAAGCAATATGTGTACACACTAAACATTTACATTAAAGAACAGAAACATTTTACTGAATAATAATATGTAGGTATTCATTATTTTTATTACTTTTATATCAATATGAATTTTCACATTTGTACGACATTGACTTTTTATAGACGATTGCATTAAATACAAATGAACTATCTAAATGCCGTACAAAAAAATATCGTACTGAATATCACCCTGAAGTACATTTCGTAACGTGGATTTTTCGAGAATTCTTTCCCTCCTACAGACTTTTGGACCCACAAAAATACACAATAGTGCACACAATGACTTTGTGGTGCACTATTTTTGTACGGCACTACGTGTTTTATTATTCTTTTTAATGGATCTGTGGATGGTAACAATGTCGTACAAAAATATAAGACCAAAATGTATTCCCGCTATCTGTACTTTTGAATTCTCACCTGCACTCAGTTGGACAGCTTACCAGTAATGGCATAGTGCTGAATCTTTTTACCCGGCTGCGCAATGCAAGAGCGCGAAGCGCGACGCGCAGACAGGGTTATGTGTTTAACAGTCTATATATGTATGTTTGTTCCTTTGTGGCACACCAGAGACCAAACGCCTGGACCGATTTTGATGATTCATACATCAATCGATTCGTCTCAATCATGGGAGTGCTACTAAAGATATGACAGTAATCAAAATTCAATATGGGCAACATTAGGCGCCATATTGTGACGAAGTAAAAAAAATAAGTTGACAAAATATGTCGAGTGGGGTATCACTGTCTAGATAATCAAAAATCATATTTAGGTTTCTAACACCATTTTTCATTTTATATGATTGTTTAGGATCTACAACGCTTTAAAGTTGTATATTAACCACTTACGCTTTTAATTTCAATCTTACGTTTGTATGGTTCTTTGTTACTCTTTCACCTAAAAAATACTAAATGGATTTTAATGAAACTTAACAGTAATATAGCTCATATATGATAATTACATATATATCATAATTTATGTAGGTAGTTATTGAGTGAATTGGCCAATATATAACAATAAGTGTCACATAAGACGGAAAAAAATCTCCCATCTGCGAGCCATTTTGGCCTGCACTGCAAAAACAATAAAAGTTACATGAATGTAATGTAGAGTGAAAATGTATCTCTTAAATAGTTCTAAAAAAAGTCCGTGACACCATATATCTATTTTTAATGTGTGACTTACACATTACCGCTAAAATAGTGAATCAAAACTAAAATATTATTTGATGTCTATTTCCAAAATGCACATTTTGTATTAACAAATCATTTTTTATCCATACAAATACTTTTATCGCTTTTCATATTTAAAGACGATAAACTTTGCTTTCTACACTATGTCATTTCGACAAATATTTAAAAAGTTACAACGATGACAAAGTGATAGCGCGGTGTACTATGTAAAAGAAAAAAAGGGGTATTCGCAGTATCTGATCCTATACGAAGTACTAACAATAAAACTGTGATACAGTTCCTTCTTATTAAATGATGAAAAATATATTATCATAATAGGTATTTATGATTATTGAATTTTAATGAAAAACTCAGAATTTTACTGTTTTTCATTTTTTTTAACGATATTACTTAATGTTACATAAAAGGTTTACTTAATATAATGACAAATAACCCATTTTTCGCTAGTAAGTACATACTTATTGGAATCCCTGTATTTATTAATCAGCTCGCGATTATATTGGTTTTGTAATAATTCTGCAAAATTCTAAGTAAATAATGTAGATTTTTATAGGTAAATCACCCCTTTCATCAGCCTACGCCTATAAGTATTGCGATGTTGTAGCTAAGAACCAAGTTCCCATCTACTTCTATATGGGAATTCATTATATTCGATTTAGCTATTAGGGCACGGAAGCGCAACAAACAAACTCACTTTCGCATCTATAATATTATATTATACTTACTAGTGGGCATTGTACGGGCGAAATTTATTTATCGGGATAAAATGTAGCCTATGTCACTCGGACAAAATGTATTTAAATAAAGAAAAATGTTATAATAAATAACGTAGCTACCTTATGATGAACTAATATTTGAAACCGGTTCAGTAGTTTGACAGATTATTTGTTACAAACATACAAATCTTGCTTCTTTATAATATTAGTATAGATAGTTAGGATAAGATAAGTATTTAATTGATGAAAACGATTTAAAAATAAAGTAAGTAATAGGTTTATTTGATTATATTTGTAAAAGTTACTTAGCATTTGTGCTTAACAGTGATACATTATTCGGTATTTTTTTAAACAAAAAAAAAATGGAAAATAATCGCCATGATTGCACTACTCGGAGTACTCTTCATTCGAGCTTTACACTACCAATAAAAAAGGGTCGAACACAAAGTCTGTGACCTGTTAAATGTGAACGCTTTAAAAGAAAACTACAAAGAGAACTATAAATTGTTAATAAATGAGATTGCTATGGTGCTCTACCTAACTTTATGAAAATTTTATTATGCGCCTTAAGTTTAATCAAATATTATAAACTTTGCTATGGTGATTGCATAATTATTTAATTTAGTGATCTAAGGCATTTGCCACCATTGTCCAAAACAACAGACGGGAATTACTGCTTTCTTCAACCTGCGACATAAACGTCATTGATTGGTATTGTATATAGGGTGATTAAAAACATTTGAAGTTAACTTCTGGCATCTACATATTGGGTTTCTGTGAATTATGTAGGTTTATCAAATTATGAGACTAGGGACTGACACTGAATTTGTGTATATCACAATCTTAGACGTCCGGCATTGACATGACAATGCAGCCACTGCCAATTTTAAATAGTCGACGAATAAAAGTAAAGAATTTTACATTTACTGCTAAACTATTAAAAAAAAACATAAACAAAAGATGACTTTTTGAGTAAGTGCTAGTTTACTATAAAATTTACATACATAAGAGATATGTATGTACGACTTGATTTAACTTCACACATTTTTGCGAAAATTGAGGCCCATCTGTAGCCTTGACCCCGCTGGTAAAGTCTTTATATGTCTTAATAAATCAATCTTTTAGACTTAATAATTCCCGCGAAATTAATTCCCATACTGAAATAACAAGACTACGGTATATACCGTCTTAAAATACTAACTAATTAAAAAGTGTGAAATAAAAAAGGTAAATTTAAAAATCAAAAAACCCGACTGCTTAATTATACTTCAAATAAAAACTGAAAAGAAAAAAACAAGTGCAGTAGTCTATAATTCTGTTAATAAGGAACAAAGCTACTTTAACAGTCGGGACCCATTATTGAAAAATATTATGTATTCTTGAATATCTAATGGGTCCCGACTGTTAAAGTATCTTTGTTCCTTATTTACAGAATTATAGACTACTGCACTTGTTTTTTTCTTTTCAGTTTTTATTTGAAGTATGATTAAGCAGTCGGGTTTTTGATTTTTAAATTTACCTTTTTTTTATTTAATGTACTTCTATCAAATAGATCTTCTGGTGGTTCAAATGAGCCATCAATTTTTGACACGGGCCTGTAGTCTAATAGTTCGTGAGTAATCTTTCAGTTATTCAGACCTCTTTATTTCTTACCTTGGCATATCTAACAGCTATTTGCTCGATACTTTCGTTGGGTTCATCCAAACCCGGCTGAAGAACTACTGCTGGCATCTTTAGCCGTTCACATATACCTTTGAATTTCTCGTAGTGACCTTCCAGTCCAGGAATGATGCAAAGGTATCTTTTTGTGATATCGATATCGTCAATCATCTATATGCAGTAAAATAAGTATTATCAAATTATTAGAAAACAATACAAAATTAGAAGCAAATAAAAATATGAAAGTTTCCACTTAATATGTCCCTTGATTCGAGATTTTTGTATTTATCTAATGTGACTTTAACCATAGCTGCTTAAAAACCACGATAGAAAAGATAAGTTTGCTCTCTTATTTGACCGAACAAAAAAAACTTATTCAGTAGCTGTTTTTATCACCTAGCTTATTTATTAATTCATTTTATTTACATCAATATGATTAAAACCATAACATTGATTACCCTTAGACCCTATAGTACCTACATTACAATACAATATGATGGAAACAAACCAAATCACAGTAACGCTTAAAACTGGACTGGATTGATGTGTAGTAATGTATAGGAAAAAAATTTGACTGTAAAATTAAAAAAATAAATGTATCATTACACTAACTCCCGAAGTCAAAATGTAATAGTAATTTTTATGTTATAAAATTAATAGCAAATTCATTTGATAGGTAAATTAGAGCAAATGTCCTTTCTATATAAATACAAGTCATACTCTAAGCTCTAATATGACTTACCATCATAATATCATTTGCCAGTGTAGGCAGCAACATGGTTTCAGTAGTAGAGCTTAATTCATCACTGTCGAAATGTGAGAAGAACATATCCAAGCCTTTGATTTCCATCGGCTCCTTTCCCTTTATGCTCTGCTCTATCTCTCGTAAGCTAACACAAGAAAAAAATATCCTGAGTACATAAATTGATAAAAAAAACAAGAGACAAACAAAATTTAATTCAATTTAAAAAAAACCGGCCAAGTGCGTGTCGTGCCACGCGCAGTGTAGGGTTCGTAGTTGCCCGTCGTTACCACAATATATTTCAGACGGAGTTTTTAATTCAAACAATTACTATCTACTTAAGGAACTTGTAATGTTAACTTCTAAGGTATTTCTATTAGGTAAGGAATTCTCTAATATATGAATTGAACGACTATTAATTACTCTGAAAGTAACTGATCTATCATAACTGTTTATAATATTTCTTAAAAAGTTCATAAAAAGTCCTATTATCATGAATATTTCCAAATTTTTCAAGCTAACAATTTAGCTTTTAGCCCCCCCTGGGTGGGAGTCGATGAAAAAAAAACCATCCTCAGGTTACATTTAGGAGATTTCCTTAAAAAAATATTTTTCAGCATTTCATTCCACCAATTTGTCGGCGTGATTGATATACATATCTCGACAAAATTACAGCTCTCTAGTGCCAATAGTTCCAAGTAAAACCTCGGAAGAATAGACATATGGACATTACAAAACTATAAAGGTTCCTTGCCAGGATTTCAGAACCCTATAAAGCGCAAAGTAAATTATACTGTTATTTGTTGCAATCACATAAATCGTATTAAATGTAGCTGTCGTCAACCAACCACTCTAAAACTTTGTATTTGTACTGATCGAAAACAATTAATAGACTTACTCTTTAACAGTCAGCTGCAGAATGTGTTCTTCAGATAAAGAGAGATTATATTCATTGCACAAAAAAACATCAATGGCTGGCACTTTCTCAATGCTTACACCAAGTTTTCCAAGATTTACATCATCGTCAATATTATGCTCTGGTACATTTAAATCTGCGGGATTTTAGCAAAGAGATGACACCAAAAAGCTTAAATTAGTAAAAAGATTAAAAAAAAATACTTTTTGAACTGTGTTTGCAATATTTTACATATAACCGGAGCTTTGGATCCTTTACAGTTTTCTTGTTTATGAGAATGTGTTCTATAATTTTGACTAATAGCTACATTCGAAAAAAGTTTCAAGTATTTACTGCTCGGACGGATACAATTTTTTTTTGAGAATTTTGAATGTCTATGTATGAATATTTTCAATTTTAGATACATAGATACAAAGAAGTGGCAATGGTGACACATTTTTATAATTATAATTTTTTTAAGCATGTAACTGCTCGATGTTCTATTAAAATTAAAGAAAATATTACTAGAATTAAAAGTAGAAACATTTTTTTAACTTCAAAAGTACTCTAAGACAATTTTTAACATAGACAACAATGAGGTAACTATAATCCATCGTCTTAAAAGTGTCTTTCACTTTTTAACCGACTTCAAAAAGGAGAAGGTTCACTATTCGGTGGGTATGTTTTTTTATGTATGAACACCGATCTCGCCGCGATTTCTAAACCAATTCGCAGTTAGGAATTGCAATGATGAAAATCTATATCATGTTTCAATCTTGGCCCCGCCTGACTTTTAAGTTCCATTTTCGATTTTATTTCTGTATTTTTTTTTTGCACTATATTATTTGAAAGTTGGTATAGAAACTAACCTGCTAAAGTGATTACACTGTTCAGTAAAGAACTCCTGTTCAGCTTTATGATTTGTGCCAGAGATATTGTTTCCTTAGCGTTGACAGCATATTCAAGAGCTTCACAGGCATGCCAATAAGTAGTTCTAACATTCGAAGATCCATCTGGTGCTTCATTTATCTAGTGATTGATAATAACGATTATAAAAAAGGTAGAAAGATTAACAACAACTTTAAATTTTACAACTTTAAATATAAAAATATAATGTTGATTTATTACGGTTAAAGTTAGTATCTCGTCTATTAGCTTGTGAATGAATGTTTTTTTTTTCAATTTTATTGATTGATTATTATTATGTGTAGGTCATTATAAATTTTAAAAATAATATTACAAAAACGTGTTATACCTTTTTCAGAAACGGCAGGCAGATTTTTATAGCTGGCAATTTTTCCTGAGATCTGTTGATGCATGTGTCGTTACCAAATTCGCTATCGGCAGTTAATACTGAGAAATACCTGCAAGTAAACAATGGCTAAATATTTTTTATTGAGGGCAATGGGCAAAAAACACGCAGCTCCGCCAACAATATAATTAATATGCATCGATAGATCTATGAAGAACTACCCATTTTTATTATGACACCGTAAAAAAATATCCTGGTAGTCAAAAGATATGACACCGTAAAAAATATCCTGGAAGTGAAAAGATATCACACATAGGCATATTTGCTAAATAAGTTCAATTTATAGTATCTTTCTTTTATATTATTACTAACAATAATAATATGCCATATGGATATACGACAACCAGATATACGACAAAGCCTGCCTCTCTCTGCCAACTGAGGCACCTCAGAACGGTTTATGGGGGTTGAAGGACTTGCAGTTGCAAATAGTCGACTCGTCTTACTTGGTTGTGATTGTGTGCTCCCTGTCACTTGATTATTTTTTATCTAACACGCTTTGGACATTGGAACACGATTATCGGTTTTGTCAGTTAGTATGGATGAACTGGAATCTTGTTTTCTCCGAAGGCCAAGTTTGTGTGCTTTATGGTCGCTCCGTTTCACATAGAAGATAATTTACTATAACGAACGGAATGATTGAAGAAAACACCAACCCATGCGAGGATTTTTGGATTATTCTAGCCCGACAGAATATGGGGGCACCCTTGCACCTTGTGAAATACTCCCATAATACCTGAGCCCCCTATGTAGGGTCGAACTACCTAACTAAATTAATTCCCTTGTTTCATTAATCTTCGTTCGTTATAGTACTTGTACCTATTTAACTTAAAATAACTAAAGACCAACGGGATGGAATTTAATGCGCTTTGGCACATATGATCATGACTATAATACCTTTCAAACAAATGTAGTTTACGCCGTGGCGGACCTGGGTGCAGCGTCCATACATTTTTGCCCAATGTCCTTTATGAAGACAAGATATTGGAAATTTGCTTTCTACCCTTTTAGAAATAATCTTATTTCACTTACAAATTACTTATAAACAAAGGATGTATTACTTACTTTACTGACAAACAAAGATTTCTAGATAATTTATCTAGATAATTCAAAACTTTTTGTTTATCATTTGTGTTGGATTCAGATGTAACAACGTGAATTCCTTCTACAGTACCCATGTTGTTGGCTTTAATTAGCATGTCATCAACATCGTTTTTATTTTCAAATTTAGAAATGAATACCTTTACTACCACTCCATTATCTTGCCAAAATCTAAAAAAATAATTGAAATTAGTTTGCAAATTTAATTTGTAGAGGAAGTTGGTGTTAAAGAACCACTTACTGTTGCTTATAAAGCACTTGGGATGTTGACTTCGGTAAGTGCAGAACTATTTTTGTTGCACCTCGTTTGACCAACTTATCTCCTAGGTGGACACCGAGAGCTGGATTATCGCAAATCAGTATCTGTGTCTGGTTCCGACTACATGTAATCCTGAAACAAAAAGATGTATCGCACTATATACATATTATACACAAATGGTTCAATTTCTTCAAAGTTCAATAGTTCTAAAGCAAGGAATTAGTATAACTTTGGATTCTCAAAGCATTTAAAGCTACTGCACATAGAGTTATACTTAACATAATTTTATGTGAATACTTACAACACTGCCAAAAAAAACTAAAATGTATAACAATTAAAAAAGAACTTGTACAACAACATTACTATACCGCAACATCACGGGCTTGTCAAAAAATATATTGTTTTTAACTTTCATGGTCACTAACACTATAGTAATATAAGTTATTTACGGGATTGTTACCCATCTATATATATGAGTTTCCGATATATATATATATATATATATATATATATATATATATATATATATATATATATATATATATATATATATGTATTATACATCGGAAACTCGCTAAAAACAAGGTACATGGTAACAATCCCGTAAATAACTTATATTACTATAATTGTCAAAAAATGCTCAACAGTAACGGACATGTCTACACAAACTTCCTAGGCAGACAAGATAAACATGTTCACTTATTCTACCATGATAAGTAATCGCGACAGCGGCCGCACGTACCCCTGACGTATGCCCTCACTCACTAGGCACTGCAGCTTGTATGAGAGGATTGTACCTGGGCTGGGGTCGTGGCAGGTGCTGCAGCGAGAGCAGCACACGGCCGCGGTGCTGGCTGGCGCGCAGCAGGCGGAAGGCGCGCGGCGCGTCGAGCGGCGCGTACGTCACGCGCGACAGCGGCCGCACGTACCCCTGACGTATGCCCTCACTCACTAGGCACTGCAGCTTGTATGAGAGGATTGTACCTGGGCTGGGGTCGTGGCAGGTGCTGCAGCGAGAGCAGCACACGGCCGCGGTGCTGGCTGGCGCGCAGCAGGCGGAAGGCGCGCGGCGCGTCGAGCGGCGCGTACGTCACGCGCGACAGCGGCCGCACGTACCCCTGACGTATGCCCTCACTCACTAGGCACTGCAGCTTGTATGAGAGGATTGTACCTGGGCTGGGGTCGTGGCAGGTGCTGCAGCGAGAGCAGCACACGGCCGCGGTGCTGGCTGGCGCGCAGCAGGCGGAAGGCGCGCGGCGCGTCGAGCGGCGCGTACGTCACGCGCGACAGCGGCCGCACGTACCCCTGACGTATGCCTTCGCACATAAGCCCTTGCAATTTCTGATAAACATGTGGAAAAAACGGAAACTGTTATCAAAGAACAAGCAAGGCTTTTGAATCCATAAGAAACAAAGAAGGAAACGCATTTAATCGTATCTTAGGACGGCAGGCTAAATTATGTTTAAAATATTTTGTATTCCCACTTAATATTTATCCCTTTCGATGTCAGGTGATGGTGAAATCCAGACGCGAACATAGCTGGATCATCAGTTCTTTCTGCCACATCAGATACATACACATTTCACTCCTCTTTTAGAGTATTCTGGATCGAAGGAGGGAATGAACACGTCAACGGGCAAATCGTTTCTATTTGGTGATAGTGCGACAAAGCAAAGTGTCATGAACTCTCAAACACTCGCCATGGTTAAGACGATAGAACCGCTTAATGATGCTACATCACAGCTTAATTATAGAATCTCGAGAATGTCGGTCACCTAAAAATCGCCAATGATGTGGTAACCTTTCCAAATCATCCAGTAAGTATCTACTTAGCAGAGCTATCGCAGAGACGAGAAATATTCCAAACAGGACTACACTTGCGTTTTGTGCAACAATTACAGTTGCTCAGGCGTAAAAAACGTAGCATCCTTTAAGGACTCCTAGTATTCGTGAGGATATTTTTATCACGCTTACGATGCAGTTGTTTGGGTTTAAGTCACAGCAAAGTTAAATTTTCGCATTTGGAACAACACAATGAACATTTTCTCAATCTAAAGGGATTTTTTATAGTATTTTATAATAATTATATATACTGACTTGCCTACCAAGACCATTTTTATGACGCTTTCAATGTTTATTGATATATTATATCTTCTTAATAAAGACTTTATCAAATGCAAACGCAAATGGCTAGCATTTTAAATTACATAGACAAAAAATCAAACACGGGGCTGATCAACACAGGGTTTATAATGAAAAGATTCGCTGTTATTTTACTTTTTATGTCTAGCATGAAAAAAAAATACGATTAATTTAAAGTATGTCAACTTACAAGCCTATTTATTTTCTCATTAGTAATCTTTGAGAAGTCAACCCAAAAGTAGGATCTGTTACGAGTCAAACAATGCATCTTCAGTATGTATTTCTCACCACTGGGTATTTGAATAGTATCTAAGATGATACTGTTTAAACCCGTGCAACTGAATGTGACCTGAAATAAATTGAAAAAAAATCTTTAGTGGTAATAATAGCAGTATTTTACCTGTATACTTTACTTATACTTTTACCTAATAAAATGCATATTAAAATACTTACCTCACTGAAAGCTTTATATTGAGATAGCACTTCCGTTTCCCGTCGAATTACCATCAGTTTCCGTACTTTTATTCACCTTGTATCCGGTCCAGTGGCGACACCTGTCAGAAGCGCGGCCATTTTTGTTTTCCTAAGTTTTGACAGCGCCATATTAACTCATTGGCTCAATCATTTCACCAGGCAGAATTTAAAGTGAAAGCTTTCAGTGAGGTAAGTATTTTAATATGCATTTTATTTCAGGTAAAATGCTGCTATTAAACTACTTGACCGTCACTGAAAGCTTTATATTGAGACCTGTTTGTTATCGCCTGATGATCGCCACGTACATAGATATATACGCCAATGTGACAATTTATGATAAATTTAAATATTAACATTTATGAGCTTATATGAAACTGTATAAAGAAACGAGTAAGCTTAAAAATGGATCTAATAACATTATTTGAATCACGCCTTTAATTTCTTCACGCTTACGAAGCTGTTTTAATATATGTATTAGCTGATAGCTATATTCCTTTGCTTAAAAATCGCGAAGTATATATATATATATATTTACTTTGTTAATGACCGGACGCTTCCTTGTGTAGCATTCATTTGTATCTTTGTTTATCACAAAAAAGGCGTACGAATGCGAGAAAAAGATGTAAAGTTGTTCGATACTGAGTCTTACATTTTACAAGACTGTACTTTTTACTTAAGTACCAAAAATCGCTTCTGCCAGGTGTCGCCACTGGACCGGATACAAGGTGAATAAAAGTACGGAAACTGTTGGTAATTCGATATGAAACGGAAGTGCTATCTCAATATAAAGCTTTCAGTGACGGTCAAGTAGTTTAATAATAAACACAGTTTTATGATTCATCATAGAACAGAAATAAAAATAATATCGCACCACGAGAAAAACAAAAGTTTAATTAAGCATAATCTGATTGTTCATAAAACCAATGGAATCACAGATCTCTTGCTTTGACTTTGTATGCTTTTGTTTTTCTCTTGGCACGATATTAAGAGTTGTTTTTTCACACAATCGATTAAGGATTCTGGCCACCTAGTCATATTGTCATATTTTAGTCTGTGGCAGCTTATAATGAGTACTTTATCACTATCCTATTTATAAACAAAATAGGCTTAACAAGTCTCAGCCAATGAATTCATATACATAACTGTATTGCCGTTTGGTATATAACTTCCTTAGTGCCAGCTTTTTCCTAGTTCCTTAATAAGGGTGTGTGTGTGTGTAAAATTTCAATCAGTCCATTCAAGTCATGCATGATATTGATGAAATCGTGGGGAAATTACCAATTATAATTGTTTCTTCTTGAAATAAAATACCCACAAAATACATAATAATAATGAGAAATAAACAGACAGTATACTGAATATCACTGCTTCAGTTATCTACTGAATATCATATATTTGATGCTTTGACAACGAATAGTAGATAAAGAAATTGTAAATCGTTTGACAAAAACTTAAATTTTAGTTTTTTGTCAAACGATTGTAGCATCATAATTTTATAAATAATTTTAACTGATAATATTATTTTTTTTATAGCGCCATCTATCGTCATTCACATAAATCATCGAATATTGTAGGCCGTTTGAATATAGCAAATGCCGCGCGCGCAACAAGAGTGACAGATGCGTTTGGAATGTATGATAGATGGAGTTGATGTATAATTTTGTTGAATAAATTACATGATCGGGTGTGACGTCATATTAATGTTCTGGAAGAAATTGTGAGAGGCGTGGTTTGCTTAACCAGTTTGAATACCATTTCGCTCCTTATTAGGAGATAGAAGCGAAATCTTCTGCCAGAAAACACGTAACCAATTGCCACTATAAATAGCTGTGCGCAGCAGAATTAGGTCTTTTTTCTTGTCGCTGATTGAACCCTGGTATATCAAGGTAGTTGCACCGTGACCGTTGATAAGCAAGCTATAGTCAGTGCATTGATAATTTGATATTTTTCCCCGGATTAACGGGTCCTTTGAGGAAGCTAGTAAAATTTCTAGACAGAAACCCAGTGATTAAAACTGCTCGGAATTTCTCTGGAAATATAGAAAGGAATACGTTTGATAAATTGAGCCTGTAGACTGAATCCTGGAAAATCGATGTGTTCATTTGATGACAGCACGTCCTGATTAAAACTTGACGACATTTGAGTCTCCTTGATGTTCCCAAAGTCTTAAAGCTAAGTAATATCTGTATTTTCTTAGTATTTAACCAGTGCATTCTCCGCAGAACAAAATTTCTGTTTCTTAATTTCTGTTTCTAAAGGATTTATAATAGTAAATTGTAAAGTCATTATAAGAATATCTTGAATTTCATTTCATATAGTTTGTTATTTTCGAAAACCATTTGTTTATATAAAATATTAAGTTAAATATATATGCATCAACACATGTTATTGACTATATGTACGTCACCTAATCTTAATCCTTGAGCTTATAAAAGCTATATACAAAGATATCTGTAAGTAGTATTAAGTGTGTCAATGTATGATGAAATTTCCTCTGAAAACTAACAATATATAAAGATCTTGTTCACTGCTGAATACAATTTTATTTCACCCCCACAAATCACAGTGGATATATAAATTCAATTTTGAGACTCATGCAAAACCCCTGAGTTGGTTGGTGGTATCAAAAATTGTTACACGATTTACAATTTAGTGCACTACAACGTGACATAAAAATTTGGGAGTCTATCGGAGACTTACTACCACCCTCCATAAAAATATGAACCGCTTCTTTTACTTAATCTCGATTCACCTAAAACTAGCTTTAAGCCATTGAAAAATGTAAAAACGTCAATGTCGATTTGACATTCTTGTACGAGCTAAATCTAGATTTAGTTAAACCTAAACCAGTTTTTTTTAAATATTGCAATTTTTGTGCATTGCAGGTTTAAAATTAAATTATTTACCGTTGTTGTAAATCCAATTCCATGACATGGATATCAAATGAAAAGGTTTGTTGGGAATAATACGAGTATATAAACTAACGCATGTCTTTAATTGGTATCTAAACTAAAACTTGTTTTTAAAAAGTTAATAAATATATATTATTTTATTACAAATATTGTTAGGTAGGTACTTACTGAAGAGAACTTTTTGAACAATGTTCAACAATACTCACATCTTTGAGTTCACCTTTTGTGCAATTAATTACATATGCGACCCCCTGTCCTTTAGTGTGTACCTTTACCATATCTCTAAAGGAATTATCTCTTGAGTTTCCAATGTGATCCTCTGTAAGAAAATCCAAAAGCGAAAGTCAAATACTTAGAACAGATATACAATACATAGGTTAAAGTAAGCCATTATAAAAAACAATTCTTTGAAAAATGCTAGTGTCCATTTTTAGGGTTTCGTAGTCATGACACGGAACCCTTATAGTTTCATCATGTCCGTATGTCTGTCCATCCCCGGTTTTGCTTGGAGACTGTTAGCACTAAAGAGCTGTAATTTTGTGGAGATATGTATATTAAACGTGCCGAAAAAATGGTAGAATAAAATTTTGAACGATATTTCTATTTAGGGTAGTTCTCTTACGCATAACCTGGAGATGACTTTATTTTTCCATCGTCTACCCAATCGTTGAATAGGGCTTTTAAAATTATTCAGGGGTTTCTAAGACTATTTTTCGATTTAGAGATCCGTTTACGAAATACTGAACTTTAAAGTGCTAATGTTTATTTGTGTAGGGCGGCTTGGCTTAAAGGCCATAACTTGTAAACACTGCCTTTTGGGCTCTTCTAAGCTGTAACATTATAGTCTTTCCGGTAGCAACCCAAAATTGGAACGCAACATAGAATAAGAGACTGAACAAGATCAAAATAAGCAGTCCTTAGAATAGCTAGGTCTGCGCCAACTCTTCGCTTACTAATAACATTTTTTTTTTTGATACGCGTCGTTGTACATTTGATATTTGAATTCGATGACATAATTCTATCGACTGTAACACCTAATTATTTAATACTATGAGCACGTGATATTGAGGCACAGAAACAAGGAGGCATGTCATATTTATGAGCAGTTATTGCAAACGAGCTGTTGTGAACGATTTACTGTATTTTGATAATTCTTTTGTATATATGTGTATTTGTTATATGTCATTGTTTTGTAAGTTTCTTTTAAAACATAATACAGTTGTTTGTGATTGGGACAAGTCCGCTCGTTTTATTTCTAATAACCTATTTCTTCGATAATTTCCATTAGTTTCATTCAGTTTTACAGTCCATCGCTAACACGAGGACTCTGGCTGTGATGAGAGTTTTGAAGCAAAAGTGTCAAATTTAATTTTACTTGTTTAATGAAAGCAGGTTACGAGGCAACCATAACTTTGTAGGACGCAACGAGGATTCTGCATTTGAACGCGTCGCCTCTCAACTCTGCCCATGAACAATTCGCTGTTTGGCAGTTTTAATTAACATAAATCATTTATGTATATCAAGAACATAGTTGGGCCTAGGACTTCCCTGCGGTATACCATATGTAATTGGCTCATGTCGACTAGTGTAATTTCCAATTGTAATGTATTGAGTTCGATCACAAAGGTAGCTCAGAAACATTGTTAGCACAGTACCCCTCATACCAATACGCTGTAGTTTTGAAAGAAGAATGGAAACAGATACAGTGTCGAATGCTTTTGTGAGATCAATGAATGTGCACAATGAATTTAGTTTACAATTAATATTTTTAACTACAGTACTGGTTAGCCCTAAAACCGAATTGATTAGGAGCAATTAGATTATTTGCGTCTAAATAATTTAATATTTTAGTATTTAGGAATTTTTCTAGAATTTTAGACCAAGTAGTCAGGACCAATATTGGCCTGTAATTATTGACACTGCATTTATCTCCACCCTTATAAATGGTGTAAACCAAAGCTTTCTTGAATACTGTTGGAAAAGTGCCCCAAGAAAAACAAAGTAAAGACATGTTTGAGAACGGGAATCAAGATATACCTCGATTCCCTAATCAGGGATATTGGAATACCATTACGGCCAGTTACATAATTCTGCCTAAGTTAAGCCTAAGATGATTTCCTTCAATTATCTTATAGTCAATGTCTAGCAATACCATGGAGTTCGATATAGAGACATCGGATTTTCTAGAAGGATTGAAAGGTGTCGCATTTAAAGAGTCTTCGATTATATTAGTAGCCAAATCTATGCCCATGTTAGAAAAAAATGCATTAATCGATTCAATAGCTGATTGCGGACCATAAGATGTAGTTAACAGTTCATCAGAGGGAGAATCCTTTTGGTTTAAAATGGTAAGATCGAAGAATAACTAATGTTACCGACATAGCCAAAGAATTGCGAGCCTTAAGTGGCAGTGGGCAGGGCACATTGCAAGGAGGGTTGACGGCCGTTGGGGCGAAAAGATCTTCTAGTGGCGTCCACGTACCGGGAGACGCAGCGTTGGTAGTCCCACCTCGAGGTTGACCGACAATATGGTGAAGGTCGCGGGAAGCCGCTGAATGCGGGCAGTGCAAGATCGATCGGTTAGGAATTCCTTACGGGAGGCCTATGTACAACATGTGGGCGTCTCTCGACTGATAAGATAATGATGATGACACTACAAACAACGCTGCGTCATTTAATCATTCAGACCATTAATATGAGCCCAAACTGTCTCTGCTACCTCATGTCTAGATGTGAGGACCAGTAATTGGTTAATTTGTCGCTACTATTCGTTACTAGTTTATTAAGATAAGCTTTTGGTCTTCCATGTAACCAAAATAAATAAATAAATAAAAATAACCTAAAAGTTACCAGGTCTTGAAAATACCACCAAAGTAAAAGTGAAACAAATTCTAAATGTATAGTAACTATGAAATCAGTAAGATTCTTTTCTCAAATGGGAAATGCGCTGATAATCTTCTCATCCCATATAAATTATAACTCAGAACCATCTCGATCATGTCAGCTTTCAAATAAAAATCGCTTTCAAATAAAAATCGCATCCAAATCGGTCCATTCTTCAAAGACACACAGACGAGTCAAACTTATAACACCTCTCTTTTTTCGTCGGGGTTCAAAACAATAATTTTTTTTTTTTTTTATAGTTAGGTCCGACAAGTGACTCCACCCCACCTGATGTTAAGTGAAGGTGAAGTCCAGACGCGAAGATAGCTGATACAGCAGTTCTACCTGCCACACCAGCCATCCTCACCCTGCCGGCCTGCATGTTGCTTCTTCACGCCTCTTTTAAAGGATCCCAGGTTGTAAGAGGGAGGGAACACGTGAGCGGGCAGAGCATTCCATTTACGGATAGTGCGACAAAGAAATGAGTCACCAAATTTCTTTGTACGCGTTGGAATTGTGGCCACAGTAAGACAGTGACAACGTAGGCCAGCGCGCGTGGTCCTCTGAAGGAAATATATATAGAATATTATTATTAATAACTTACCATTTAATTCTGGGTATAGTTGCTTAAGGAAATGCTTCTTCCTTATGTCACTGACAGTAGTGAACACCTGCAGTCCGTGGGCTAACGCTATAGATATGACGGCCTGGCCGAGGGCTCCTGTACCGCCGTGCACTAGGATACTCTTGTGTCTTTGCATTGAACATTTGATCGCCTTGAAAAAAAAAACACATTTGCAATGCCTTCTCTATTTTTATGGGTTTCATTGGAAACACGACACTCAGAATATTCGGGTTATTAAAATTAGTGGAGCCTAGACATTATGCATTAGATGTGCCATCCATCTGCAATACCACTAGAGGCACATGAAAATTCCCGGCAGCAGATTTCTAAAGATTTTGTCGTTTCCAAAGCCGGTGACGCTATACAAGTCATCTGCGACCAACAGCATGCACACTCAAAAAAAATAAGATTAAGTGCTGTGCTGAAGGGCAAAAACAATTTCATTTTCATATATTATTAACGTACTTAGTACTTACAAGACAATAAAACGCAAAGGCATACGGCATAGGAACAGTAGCCGCATCTTGCATCGTCCAGTGTTTTGGTACAGGCCACAGCAGATCAGGAAGTGCCATCACGCGGTTACTCGCTGCGCCAGACGCTATCAGTCCCATCACTCGAACACCACTGCGCCCAAGCAAACAAGATACAGAGGTAATTGAACAATGCGTACATGCTTTTTGAAAGACTTCATTATTCTGTTAAGCCGAACGATATTAAATACCCTAGATACAACATCACGAACAAAATCGTGGCCGAAAGCTGTCCAAAAGGTACATTGGATGATGCACGGAGCTCCGTAAGATGATCGAGTCAAATCAATATGAGGTATTATTTAAACATTGAGAGTTAGAAAACGAATCGAAAAGGTCTTAATTAAAACGCATGCGTCAAAGAGTTATGACATTTCAAAATGGATGGAAGAAGAATAGACTTTCGTCTTTTTATTTTAAGAATTAAAGTGAGACAAAGTTGTTTATTAAAAGAGCTTCCATAAAGGTTTTCGACTAAATTAAAAAAAATACCTTTAAGTATACACACGGCTGTGTACAACCTCCGTAAATGCATGTTTAGAGCAAATGTGTTGAAAATTACTTTTAATTGAGCAACTGGGGACTGAAAATGACTATGATTCATTACGGAACTTATGAATTTACCAGAATATTTGCTTTTTAATGTTATTTTTTGTATAAATATACATTCATTGCAAAACTCTAAGGAGCTCGATGGTACAGTGGTTAGCGAGTTTGATCTGCGATCAGGGAAGTGAAGCTACTTTTGCTATGCTCGATAACGGGATGGGTGACCATAAATTTACTGTCCCGAGTTCCACCTTGCTTCGGGAGGCGCGACAAACCATTAAGCTCAATTATATTCCGTAATATATAGCAATTAGTCATCGTGTTAAATTGGAAATTAGCTGCATTGCAATTAACATAAATTAACGTCATTACCTAGTGTTTTAAATATTTAAAAAAAATATAACACTAAAATATCAAAAAATTAAATTAAGATTTAGACTTACTGGTCAGTAACACCACTAAAGTCCATTCCATAAGAAAGATTATCGATATCTCCTCCTATATGTTCGTCACCTGTTCCCTCGGCCCTCATTGAATCCACAGTATTCAGTCCAGCGTAATGTACCTAAAATGGTATTTTTTTCGTAATTTACAATATAAATTAAACAAAAAATAAGAAACATTCAAAAAAGACTAGCTTGTTCTTTTTCAATTTTATTTTTTATACTAAAATTATGCGAGGAAAATGAAAACAAACCGTAACAGATACACCAGAACTGACAGGTTCTGGAACTGTCATCCAAGTGAGCGACTTAAAATCACCAATGCTCTTGCTTCGTAAAGCAATATAAGGAAACGATGATCGTTTCTCTTTCAATGTTGAAATATCTACTTCTCTGCTCGCATCCTAAAATAACGACGCAACATGTTATAAAGATGGACCAAATGGCTTCATATACACGCCGCCAGCATTGGCAACTGCAGCTGTTGCCATCTTTTAATGTAATGAAAGGTTCACTTCATATTTAATATGCATATGTAACTTCAATACTCGTGTTATATAAGTAATGCTAATAAAATTGGAAAAACCTACATCACCATCTGACGGCCCAAATTGAGGAATGAATTGTAAAGTTGTTTCAGAATGGGAATGGGCAAGATTACCGAATTTTAAAGATTCCATAGTTATTCCTCCGCATCTGGAAAGGGCAAGCATCATTAAAATATTACTTCTATTTTTATATAACACTTCACTGTAGTAATCTTCTATATTTAACATTGATTTCATTTTCTGTAATGTATTTTACCTCCTGGAAACATGAGACAATACCTAGTTCTATCTAATATTTCGTCGACGTCAGCTACAAAAACGTTGTTTCCATTTAATTCAGTTACATTCGCTACGCTATGCTCTTTGGTGTCAATATGTATTATTCGTATGCCCATAGGTTTGGAGATAGCATCGTGCTTCTGTCGCAAAACATTTAACTGAATCATGTTGTCAATTAAAGTCACCCAATTATTATTACAAAGAAGTTTAGCTTTCGTGAGAGACTTGTTGACAGCGTTGATGCTACGAAATAAACCCCTGGAAAATAAATAAGAATTGCCAAAAACCAGATCACAGATGTTACTTTTATTAAAAAAAGAAAACCATTACCTACCTGTATTGATATTCTCGATCAGAAAGTATCTGGTAAATATCGTTGTCAGTATAAATCATATCAGTATCTTCATTTATTTCAGGTGATAAATATTTTTTATTCTGTGGCCCTTGAACGATATATCCGATTGCTATTTTTGAATTTCTTTCCATAACCTTCACAAAAAATATGAAAATTGATATCTAGGCATTAAAAGAAAATATCGGCGGTTAATAGGAAAAACAAATAAAGCACTATTTAGCTAATGGTTCAGCAGAGCTGTTTAAAGTTTAAATAAAAAAAATATTATAACTTATGTTTTTATTTATAAGCATTTAACTGCTAGATGTTTAAATCTAAAGAAAAGTTTTACTAGAAAAAAAACCACGCGGACCAGGCAGCGGACGCGACTCGAACCCGCACCCTTCGCAATCCGGGCGAATGCACTGACCAATTATGCTACCACGGCCCTGATGGCCGCGTCAAAATTTTCCTAGCCTTAAGCTGCAAGCAGCGCCATCTCTTCGCATTGTAGGTAACCCACAATGTCAAATGAATACCATGCACACAGCATCAATTTGTTGCGAGTTAACGCGAGTTTCGCCAGAGTCTGCGGAGCCTGACCGGCTATTGACCACGACCTTTTTCACACGTTCTTGTCGTAGGTGATCCACTATTCATCATCAGTTATCACTTTCTTCAAAAATGGTTCGGTTTCATTGCGTGATAATAAATAATCACAAATGAGGCTCCCAAATACCGAGCTTTTTTGTGTACCCAGCTTTTTTCAAATGTGCCAAAACTGTTTTGTGGTTAATTCCCAGTTCTTCAGCTACGTCGTAACTACTGATACGCCGATCTTGCTCCACTTTTAAAAAATGCCATCCATTTTATCTGTAACAGGGCTAACAGAGCGACGTGCATCTTTGACATCAATATTTCCGGATTGAAAACATTTAAACCAAATTTGTGCTACTCTCACAGATACTGCACTAGGTCCATAAACATCACAATTGGCGGCTTGTGTTGCATTTTGACCTGATTTGTAGTAAAATTTAGTGTATTGTACTGAATCTACTTCATTAGATTCACTCATCTTGTCAGTAAGAAAAACAAATTAAAATCACACATTTTTTTAATTTGAATTTGGTATTATCTTCTTTAAAATTTAAAATTTTTAATGATACCAAAACCAGCCAGATACAAATGGTATAGCCAAAGAGAATTTATTACGAATTCTACATACACACTATAATTCGAAAAGACTTTTTCCCCAACCTGTTAATTTATATGACATTGTTCAAAATACATATCATAAACCAGTCGTTTAAACGGAGTGTATTTTTAAAATAGCCCATTTTGTACTTCAAATGAAACACCAAAATATGCTTCCAATAGGTTTCTAACCTTGACAAAACCCTATAGAACTGTTTATAAATGTAATTTTCGACCAAAGTAGCTTTTCATTTGGGTTTCCTTTTCACCGTCGATATATTTGGGATATTATTCTATACCTACCACATTCGGTTAAAGACATAATAATCAAACTCAAACAAATATTTTATTGTTCGGAAAACATAGATCCATGTGTTGATATATGATCAGCCAATTTGATTCCTGACCCACCATCAGCTTATTTTGTTACAACCATTTAAAATCAATAAGGTAGATTTTGCTGAAATGTACGTATTCCTTTTTCTTTTATTTTATGGCTTGTGATTGTGCCTTCACAATTACGTGAAGTACGTATTTCTGGAAACAAACATGTAGCCGCCTTCCTGTGTCATAATTTTGACATTAAATTATTTGGAGTTTTGCCCATGGACTAAGGATTTCCCTATTACCAACGTTTATATTATGTCAAGAAATCGAAAAAGTTTCGTTACAATCAGTTTCAAAATACTAAAATTATGAAAACTGATTTCGAAATTCGAACTGCTATTCCAATTTTATCTATAACGTGATCTGTTGCATTGAAAATAAAGGTCAAATTTCAAATATCTTTGATCAATATTAACACAGTTTCCTTGTTACTAGAAGGTCCTAAGTGCAATATCGCATTCTCTACAGTTTTAAGCGATTTATCGGGCAAGTGGGTCAGGACTTAGTTGGGCCGATCGTACTACAAGAACTTAATTTTATGATAGTAAATTATATTAAAAACTGATTTAATCCTATCTACTAATTTGCCAGGCAGTAAATATTGCAGGTTTATCTTGTTTTTATTTACTTTAAAAAAATAAAACTCAGTAATAGCTTACTTCGAAGCGACCTTGTCCTCTATGTATTGCAACATTTATTTTCAATGGCCTCATGTTGTTCAAAACTGGTTGTGCAAAGAACTCGACCTCCCGGAATGTCACCGACAAAGTTTCTTTAGTCTTTTTCTGGACCATTGCTAAAGTATCCCATACGGCTACTAAGGCAGCCGCATAAGGATAAACGTTTTTTCCTGCATAAAAGTAACTAATTACAATACAATACATTTAAAAGACTTTTTTAATTTTATAAAAAAAGGACGTTTTTTTATAATTATCTACCATGATGGTCCTGCTGTTAATTAGTAACGAATAAAAATAATGTAACCAAGGAATTTATATACCTAAAGTATATAGATTCTTCATAGATAATTAAACCTACTGGCATAATATAAGAGCTATGGCACATTTAGACGTCACATAAATTATTGCAAATTTTATTAACCCGCATAAATATCATCAGGCTAACTAATTTAAAGGTATGTAAGTATTGGAGGTATGAACTTATTGTATTAATAATTAAAAGTGAAACAACCTACTTTCTTAAAAGCAACTTTTCTTGAAAATTATATCGATGTTAGCTTTAGTTCTATTTACCTTTGATAATATGCCCACTTAAATAACTGTACTCAGGATCGTGAAGACAAACCACAAATTTGGCAGCAGATGCATTTTTTGGATTTGCTGTTACGCTTACAGAAAGAGGCCTAAAAGAATGATAAAAGTTATATTTGTTTTGTTAAAACTGCATCAGAAGCTAAAGATTGAAAATTACCATCTCTCTGTGTGGGCCCACTCCACCAGGTGTGACAGCATTGGTGTTCCAGTAGATACTGGGAAATCTATTTTTGGGTATAAGACGCTGGCTTTAGGAATATATCCTCCCATGAAAAGCCTGAAAAATAACAAAACAATTATTTAAGAAGTGATAAATGTAGAGTACTGATGAAGTAACTGCACTTAACTGCTCCTTTTTTCTTAAATAATTAATATCCATAAAAAAATATTATTAAGACGGCTTTCATAGCTTCGAGTACGAAGTTTAATTCTACCAGACCTGGCCAGTTACAAGGCACTTAAACAAACTGTAACCTCTTCCCATCGTTTTTTTCATTACGGAGACCGTGATTCCTCCGTGGTAATAATTACTCGTTGGCAATACGACACCATCTGTGGCAGTGTTAAGTATTTGCTCAGAGTAACCGGGTGTTAACAATTATTTAATTGACGTAAATGTTTATGCCGATGAAACAAAAGCTTTAATATATATATTTATGTATATTTTTATAGATAGGTCCGACAAATTACTCTACTCCACCTGATGATAAGTGAAAGTGAAGTCCAGACGCGAAGATAGCTGATACGCAGTTCTACCTGCCACACCAGTCATCCTCACCCTGCCGGCCTGCATGTTGCTTCTTCACGCCTCTTATAAAGGATCTCAGATTGTAAGAGGGAGGGAACACGTGAGCGCGATAGTGAGGTCAATTAAAACAAAAAGAAAACAAAAGCCTTTATCCTTTAATATTACTAACTAACTAATTAACAGTTTTACTAACATGAACCCAGTCAAAACAAAAGTAGGTATAGTATAATTCAAGGAGATTAAAAAGTAGTTACGGGTGATTTTGAAAATAACTTCTTAAAAACAAAGTGTATCAAGAGTATTATCTGTTAACCGGCATCTTATATCCGTTACAATGTAGCCAGCTGCTGAGAATGCCCTCTACAACTCAACACTGGTTGGCAACAGCGTGACTAAGCAATTATATGCAAACTGCAAAATTATCCCCCTTGTTCCTCCACACTCAAATAAATCCATTTATTTCTTTATTCCATCCATCCATCCATCAGCCTTTCTCCGTCCACTGCTGGACATAGGCCTCCCCCATAGAACGCCACAATGCGCGGTCTTGCGCTATCCACATCCAGCGGCTCCCAGCACATTTGACGATGTCGTCAGACCACCATATTGGGGGCCGCCCCACGCTGCGTCGTCCAGTACGTGGTCGCCACTCGAGGACCTTTCTTACCCAACGGTTGTCAGATCCTGCCTGCCTGCCCATTGCCACTTCAGCGTGCTAACTCTTCGGGCTATGTCGTACACACCGGTTCTTCTACGGATCTCCGTATTTCGGATCTTATCACGTAGGGAAACACCGAGCATAGCCCTCTCCATAGCACGCTGCGCGACTTTGAGTTTTGTTATGAGGCCGACATTCAGAGACCACGTCTCAGTCCCATAAGTCATCACTGGTAACACACACTGGTCATAGACCCTTCTTTTCAGGCACTGGAGAATTTTGGCCGTGAGGATGTGCCTAAGCTTCCCGAACGCTGCCCATCCGAGTTGGATTCGTCGGTCTCTTTCTCGAAGTTGGATTTGCCCAACTGGACTGTTTGTCCTAGGTAGACGTAATGATCGACAACTTCGAGAATCGCATTCCTAACAGATACTGGTGCTGGAGTGACATGGAAATTGAACATGAACTTGGTTTTATCCATGTTCATCCTTAAACCAACCCGTTGGGAAACTCTGCTGAGGACATTGAGCATTGTGCCAAGGTCCTCCAGGGATTCTGCCATAACCACGATATCGTCTGCAAATCGAAGGTGAGTGATGTATTCGCCATTGATGTTGATGCCGAGTTCGGTCCAATCCAGAAGCTTGAAGACGTCTTCCAATGCAGCGGTGAACAGTTTCGGGGAAATTACGTCGCCCTGTCTGACACCCTTCTGCAATGGAATCGGTTTCGTACTTCTCTCCTGGATTCGGACTGACATAGTGGCGTTTCTATACAAACACTTCAACACTTCGATATATCGATAGTCAATTCCCGATATCGATAGGACGACCTCCGTGGCCGAGTGGTTAGTACGCCGGGTTTCATGGCGTCGCCGACTCGAGAGGTCCCGGGTTCGAATCCCGGTGGGGGCAGATGTTTGTGTGATGAACACGAGCATTTGTACTCTAGTCATGGATGTTTAATATGTATTTCTATATAAATATACTTATATATGTAAAGTATATGTATTCTGTCCGTTACCCTAGTATCCCATAACACAAGCCTTATAGTGCTTACTTTGGGGCTAGGCTAATTGGTGTGAGTGTTGGAAATATTTATTTATTTATTTAATTTGGCACCGCTGGAGGGACTGCAGCACCGCCCAAGTCTCGACCGAATCGAAGGCCTTCTCGTAGTCCACATACGCTAGACACAGAGGCCGATTATACTCCTCGGTCTTCTGTATGATCTGACGCAGCGTATGTATGTGGTCCATAGTACTAAAGCCCTTTCGGAAACCCGCTTGTTCGGGAGGCTGGAAGTCGTCGAACCTGCGCGAAAGTCGATTTGTAATGACTCTCGAAAACAACTTATAGACGTGGCTCAAGAGCGAGATAGGTCGATAGTTCTTCAAGCGGGTTTTATCGCCTTTCTTGAAGAACAATACCACCACGCTCCTGGTCCACGCCTCTGGAACAATGCCCCCGAGGATGACAGAGTCGAATAGCTTCTGAAGGGCCACGAGGATCGGCTTACCGCCCGCCTTCAGAAGCTCCGTAGTGATTTCGTCATCGCCCGGTGCTTTACTGTTTTTAAGCTGCTTGAGAGCCATTCTGATCTCGTACAGGCTGACATCCGGGATGTCCTCGGTATAGTGTCGGGTTAGCTTGGATCGTGGATCTTGGACCAAGCTGACAACAGGAGTTTGGGATGTTTTATACAACTGTCCATAGAACAGCTCGACCTCACTCAAGATCTCATCTTTGGAAGTAATGACAGTGCCGTTGTCGGTCTTCAGTTTGGTCAACTGACTCTGCCCAACAGACAGATATTTTGCGAACACTTTGGAGCCTTGGTTCCGCTCTATCGCCTCTTTAATACGCTTGGTATTGTAGAGTCGAATATCGCATCGCACAGACTTCGAGATCTGTCTATTTAGCTGCCTCATCTTAGACCAGGAGGCTGGAGACTGCACCGTCATTTCCCTTCTCCGCTCCATGAACTCAAGAGTGTGGTCAGAGAGTTTTCCGGTTCTAGGAGCACGGCCTCGGGTCCTGAAAAATTTCAACCCAATCGTGTGTACAGTTTCCACAAACTTGTTGTTCATATCGTTCACCGTTTCGCACTCTTCTAGGCATTGGAAGCGATTTTGGAGTTCGAGTCGAAAGCTCTCGGGGTTTTCGTACTCGGCAGGTGTGGGACGTAGAGTAGACTTCATCAGTCGGGACCCGGCTTTAACACGAATATTCAATGTGCCTCGTAACATTCGGTGATCGCTCCCGGTTTTCACCCTGTTAATCACTGAGACATCATTGAATATTTGCCGTTTGTCTGACAAGATAAAGTCTATCTCGTTCCGTGTCGAACCATTAAGGCTTATCCAGGTCCATTTCCTTTGTTGCGACGTTTTGAAGAAGGAATTCATAACATAGAGATTTTCCCTCTCCAAAAAATCAGCCAACTTCTGCCCTCTCTGGTTTCTCTGCCCGAATCCGAATTCCCCTACTCTCAACTCACCGCTTTTCCTATTGCCTAGTTTCGCGTTAAAGTCTCCCATAACCACAGTGAAGTGAGTTTTGAATGAGCGGATGGCTTTCGAGATATCCTCGTAGAGAGCCTCCACCTCATCGTCGGGGTGCGTCGAGGTCGGCGCGTAGACCTGGATGACCTTCAGCGAATACCGTTTGGTTATTCTGAGTATCAGGTACGCTACCCGACTCGACACACTCTCAATCCTCTCTACGTTGGCTGCGAGAGACTTACGAACGATAAACCCGACACCGCCCTGCGGCAAGTCGTCACCTTCCCGGTGATAGAGCAAGTTTCCAGACCGGAGGGTTATCGTGTCCTCCCCCTGTCTTCGGACTTCTGACAACCCTACAATGTCCCACCGAATCTTGCTCAATTCCTCTTCCAGCTCGGCAATCCTCTCGTCAGTCCTGAGCGTGCGAATGTTGTGTGTTACCAGGGCCAGAGTCTGTTTTATTTGGTGGCCGGATCTCGACCGGAGATTCTTCGCACCCCGTACCCCACCGTTACCAGGCCCGCCACCGTGAGCCGGAATAGCGGGGTCGCCGTGACTCGGGGCCGTTGTGTTAATGCCTCTATTCATTTGGGGGGCTATTGCCATAATCGCCACGCTTGGCAGGCGGGTTGGCGATCGCAGTAGATGTAATGTTACTCAGGAGAACGCTGCTGCCCGTTCTCCTGGCGATCCCTTAGTCGCCTTTTACGACACCCACGGGAAGAGATGGGGAGGTGCAATATTCTATGCCGGCACCCCACGGGCCGTGATTTATCGACAACAGAGTTCATCAAGTTACGGTTTAATCAGAGAAATTCACAGTACGGGATACTCTGGATATACTTGTAAAAAAGTTTTAAGTTTTCACTTACTTGCCAATGCTTTCGAGTAAAATAAAAGCATTATCAGGATGTCCACGGCGCGTGAGAGGTATGTGCTTGCAGGAGATGGGGAGCGAACGTTTCAAGATGGCCTGCAGCAGCCCGTGCGGGGCGATTTCCACCAGCACTGCGTTAGCCGGAATCAGTGTAGCTGTTTCTTCAAAAAGTACTGGACTCTGTAGATAATTACGATTCTTTTCTGTTATATTTTGCTTTTAGATTTAGTTTTTTATTTTTGTAGTAAAATAAAATAAATTAAAGAAATTAATAAGATAAAATACTTTATGAATCTGTAAGTAACCGTAGAAATGGAATATAAATCATCATTCTTCATAATCAGTCTTAACTATAAATATCGCCACTGCTGGAGTTCATTCCCATAGATGGCTTTAAGGAACACGGACCATGAACTATAACGAGGACCTAGTACGGATAAGAATAGTTATATCGTCTAGTTTTCGCTGTAACTTTATGCCCTCGGATTCTTTAATAACTTCCTCAATATTAAGATATTGACAGTGAGGATACAAATTCCTATTAATAACAAATGTCTACGAAAACAAATCTTCAAAAGCATTGAATAAAAAAATAATATGAAATGAAGTTTCTTAAAAATACACATTATGGACTAAGTCTCAGCAAATATTTAATGATTACCAGTAAATTGTTAGTGTGGTATTCAGCTGACGAGGTTTTTGAGGCTAGCTCGTCCCATTTGTCTCTCGGCACAGATGTGGACACCCAACGGTCACTCCTCTGTTTTGGCTTCTTTATTACTTCTGTCAAGTTCTTCAAGAGTCCTGGTCCTGGTTTCAATACAATGTAGTTATTAAATGAAAACTCATACTTTTTGGAGGATCATAAATTGTAAACTCAGTAAGCCTCTTTTTCTCTCTTTTCTCTATCTCAGTCGTCAAGTCTGATAACCTAGGCTTGATCTACTTCTAATATTAAAAAAATAAGAGAACTGGCACATCACACTACCTGCCTCTCGGTTGAACGTACAATAGAGATTGTCAGTGTGAAGATGGACCGACTTGTCGTACTGAGTGTCAACAGACCACCATCGGGTTTGTATAATTGTTTTGAAACCATTATGGATGAAGCAGTAAAGAAAGACCACACCACTGGGAAACGGTTAATTGTATGTGGTGACCATAATATAAATTTATTAGAAAATTCAAACTTGTGTACAAACACAAAATGCTTATTTCAATCATACAATATAAAGAATTTGTTTGTGGCGCCAAATCAAATCAAATAAAATAATTTATTTTGAATTTTGATACTGTACCAGCTTCAGCGATGTACCGGGAGTGGTACGCGATATTGGAACACGCCACTTCCTTCGCAAAGATTCCCTTCGAAGAGAGATTGGCCACGAACTCCTGCACCACGTCTGCTGGACCTGATACAGTGCTGGATTCTGCTGAATTGTGGCAAGCTACATCGATTTCCGGAGGAAGCATATCCTTTACCTGTGTTAATACAATGACACAGAAAATTTTATGAAATCGCGTGTATGCGTGTGTGGAATCAAAAGTTTTGTCTTGGTATGAGTACCTATATGAAAATAATGAAAAATACATGTATTGGGATGTTTTTGTATTTCTACAAACGCTTATAATAACCGTAATTATTCTCACTAGTCTCGGTTGCCAAAATACTAGTCCTACTGTGGAAGCCGAAAAAAAAACTCAAATACAATTTTAAGTACCTATTTTGTGAACTTTATATTGTAATATTTCATTAATATCACACCGCGAATCTTTTATTTCTATAAAATTATAATTAATTAAATAAAATTTAGTCCTTACTTTTTCGTAGCCTATACCGATGGCCGCCATGGAGCCGCGTATGAAAGGCGTCTGCACGGAGACCAGCCCGCGGCTGTACGCGGACAGGATCATCTCCTCGGCCGTAAAACAACCATCAGCGTAGGCGCATCCCAGCTCCCCCACACTGTGACCTGACATTGGACAGTGGTCTTTTTATAAACATCAACATAACATTAAAAATGTTTTATTGCGTTTTTAGATTTTAAATGACAAGTTTTTATTTATATCATTATACATTTTATTTTTATAGATAGGTCCGACAAATGACTCCACCCCACCTGATGTTAAGTGATGGTGAAGTCCAGTCGTGAAGATAGCTGGTACAACAGTTCAATTCAATTCAATTCAAACTCATTTATTCAGTCTAGGCTGTTACAAGCTCTTGTGAAAGTCAAACGCTACGCCATCGGTTCGTAAATCTACGGCGGGAGACCTTGTACTGAGAAGAACCGGCAAGAAACTCAGCAAGGGCTATCATCAATTGAAAGATGATATCAAAAATTGAATACATGTGTTGATGTCAACTTCCATCACATTAATATTATTAATTAACAAAAGTTAAGTATAGCTAGGTACTATTTTTAAATTTAGAAGTGGCGATTAAACAATTTTCAACCAAATCAGCAAAGTAAAACGACAGTCTATTATGTTAAGCCCAAGGTGACTTATCATTTATGAAATCTTTTACAGTATAGTAACCTTTCTTAAGGAGACATGTTTTTATACACACTTTAAACTTATTAAAAGGTAAATGAATTATTTCTTTTGGTATTTCATTATAGTAACATATACCTTGACCCACAAATGAACCAAGAACCTTTTGGAGTCTAAATGGTGGCAATTTGAGTTTATCTTTATTTCTGGTATTGAAAATATGTACATCATCGCGCCTCGTATATAAATTTATGTTCTGACACACAAACAATATACAATTGTAAATGTATTGAGAGGCAACAGTCATTATACCTATTTCTTTAAAATTTTCCCTAAGAGAAGTTCGAGATCCCAAGCAATAAATAGCTCTTATAGCTCGTTTTTGAAGAATAAAAACTGTTTCAATGTCTGCGGCCGTGCCCCATAATAGAATGCCATACGACATAATGCTGTGAAAGTAGCTGAAGTATATTGTCCTAGCAGTGTCGACATCTGTAAGCCGTCTTATTTTATAAATTGCATAAGAAGCAGAACTTAGTTTACCGGCTAGTGTTGTAATGTGAGGGTTCCATTGAAGTTTGTGGTCTAGTGTTACGCCTAAGAAAACGGTTGTATCGACTAAAATTAGTTTTTCACCATTTAGAATTATATCCCCCATTTCAGCATGCTTTACATTCGGCAAAGTAAATTTCACACATTTAGTTTTGCTCGCATTCAGTTTAAGATTATTAGAAGAGAACTAGTGAAGTACCTGGAAAGTGCATTGTTTACATCGTCATAATTTGTTTTCCACCTGTCAACGTTAAAAATTAGCGAGATGTCATCTGCAAACAAAACAATTTCACAAAAAATTTCTGCAAAGAAAGGTAAATCATTAATGTAAGTTAAAAAAGAAATGGATCTAAAATTGAACCCTGAGGAACGCCTATTTTCACATGAGATCCGGCTGATTTTGTACCGTTAATATCAACTATTTGTGTCCTTTCTGTTAAATATGATTGCACTAATTTTTGTGCGGAATCTTTTATGCCGTAATGATTTAATTTCCGTAACAAAGTTTGATGATTAACGCAATCAAAGGCTTTAGATAAATCGCAGAAAACCCCAAAAGCATTCTGCGACTTTTCCCAAGCATTAAATATATATTTTAGCATAGTGGCCCCAGCATCAGTCGTGGAACAGTTTTTAGTGAAACCGTACTGCGCTCTGTGTAAAAGTTTATTAATGTTAAAATGAGTCAACAATTGTTCTAACATTATTTTTTCAAAGATTTTACTCAATGCTCGTAATATAGATATTGGCCTGTAGTTGCTAGGATCTTTACAATTTCCAGACTTAAATAAAGGTATGATTTGACTGAATTTCATAAGATCAGGGAATACTCCCTGATCTATACATGAATTAAAAATATCAGCTAGGTAAGGGGCTATAGAATGTATAATATTATTTATGACTTTGACAGATATACCCCATAAATCAGATGCATTTTTCATTTTTAAAGAATGGAAAACTTTAATTATTTTAAAAGAACTAATGTGCTTGAAATTAAATAATAAACCACACGGAGGTACATATTTTTGTAACAGAGCTGTAGCAGTATCAGTCGATGAGTCCAAGTTGGAAGTAGTTTCTAATGGTATATTCATAAAGAATTTATCGAAAATATCTGCGACTTCATGTTTCAATTTTATTAGATTATTATTGATTTTAAGAACCATGCTATTTTCACGAGGCTTACACTTGCCACTTTCGCGCTTAATGACATCCCAAGTGGTCTTTATTTTATTATTAGATTTTTTAATTTTATCCCTAATAAAATTTGACTTTGCAGTATTACATATGCTTTTAAACAATTTGGAATATTTTCTAACATAGTTAATAAACTCAGGGTCCTGGTTATATTCTTTGATTCTATATAGCTCATACAGCCTTGTTCTACTCTTATATATACCACTTGTCGCCCAGTCACAGAATTGCAACCTCTGTGTACATTTAATGGTTTTCGGTCTGAAAGTATTCTGAAATTCATTATTTATTAAATCAAAAAGATCATCATGCGTCCAAGGCATTAAATAAAGTTTATCGCTAATGTTATTTTTAAAACTATTTACGCGCTCATTTGTTATAGGTCTACACTGCATTATATTCGGCTCAGTACTGAAATTGAAACTGTATGTTGTCTTTAAACCGAGATGATCGGAAGTAATATCACTAAAGACTGACTTTTCAATTGCATCCAACTCAGAAAAAAGTTGTCTAAACAAGTGGCTGAGTGAGATGTTACTCTGGTTGGTTCAGTAAACTGGAAATTTAAATTAAAACATTTAAACAAGGTAATTAGCCGAAGACTTAAAAAGCTATTTTCAAGTAGATTGACATTAAAATCACCACATACTATTACATATTTATTTTTTAATTTATTTAGTGAGTCCTCCATGACTGATTCAAATGTACCAAAGTTTCCTGAGGGGGGCCGGTATACACATACTATATACAAATTGACTAACTCTACAAACGACAGCTCAACATGGCGTTCCACTGAAAGGCTTACAATGTCCTTTCTCTCCTTACATTTCACATGATCTTTTACAAAAATTAAAGATCCACCATGAATAGCTATCGTGCGAACAAATGCACTGCATAGTTGAAAATTGTTTTAATAAAATATCATTTCATGTTGTTGCAGCCAGTGTTCAGTTATGCACATGATATGAGTTTCATGATTTTTAGCTAAAAATTCTAACTCTAAGTCTTTGCCGGCCAAGCCCTGGATATTTTGGTGAATAATATTGACACAATAGGGCTTAGCTTTTGTCATACGCTTCAGTTTAAATCTAAGGAGTTTATTGTAGAACTACAATTTATCAAAAGATTTGAATTAGTACAAGTACTAATGTCACCTTTAAAAGAACTATTTACAAATTGTAAATTAAAAGCTAACAAATTAGCTAATTGTGTCTGAGATTTTTTGAAAGATACATAGTATCTGAAGTCAGCTTAAAATTACTAATAAATTTATTAATGTCAAAAAACAAAATGACGTCACTATGACGATTAATCAGATTATACAAGTATGTATTTAAATCAAAAATGTGCTTATTTTCATCCCAGGTCAAGTTTTTAGCATAAGGGAAAGCACTAATCAATATTTTGCAGTCACTTTCACGTTGTAACTTTAATAACACATTAAAAGAATTCAGTATGTCCCTTTTTCTAATGTCTGAGCTATAACCACATAAAATGATTAAGTTGGTTAAACTATCTACCTTTTGCGTTGTAGCATTATTTACAATTTCTTTAAATGATTGCCCAGTTCTACCTGCCACATCAGCCATCCTCACCTTGCCGGCTTGCATGTTGCTTCTTTACGCCTCTTTTAAAAGATCCCAGGTTGTAAGAAGGAGGGAACACGTGAGCAGGCACAGCATTCCATTTACGGATAATGCGACAAAGAAATGAGTCACCAAATTTCTTTGTACGCGTTGGAATTGTGGCCACAATTAGGCGGTGACACCGAAGGCCAGCGCGCGTGATCCTCTGAAGGAAAGGGGAAGGTGAAATAAGAGAGAATAACTCTTCAGAACACTTGCCGTGGCACAGACTATAGAACGCGCTTAGTGACGCCACGTCACGGCGTAATTGAAGAGGCTCAAGGTGTTTAGTCACCTCCTCATCGCCTATGATGTGGATCGCGCGCCGCTGTAACCTATCCAAAGCATCGAGCAAGTACTTGGCGGAGCCTTCCCAGAGGTGCGAGCAATATTCCACGCAGGACCGCCCTTGCGTTTTGTAGAACATGCACAGCTGATCGGGCGTGAAAAAACGCCGCACCTTGTTCAGGACTCCGAAATTGCGTGAAGCTGTTTTGATCACGGTTTCGATGGATGGATGGAGATTTGGATTCAGGTCTGAGGGAACTTCCATACCAAGTATAATGCTCTCTAGCTCCAGTGATGTGCTCTGAAGAGAAGGACATGAAAGGAATGGTGATGTTTTTGCCGTGAAAGCGCAGACCTGGGTTTTCCTAGCATTAAATTCAACCAAGTTCTGGGTACCCCATTCAGAAATGTGATCCAAAGCCTTGAGATTGAGTTCAATGACAAGATTCTCCCGTTTTCCTTGGTTACCGCCTGACCAGCCGCTGCTTTTCCGAGATACCCCGCATGCACTGTACTATCGTGTGCATAGCAATGAATGTTCCCAAGAGGAATTAAGTCATTGATAAGCAGCAGAAAGAGAGTGGGGGATAGGACGGAGCCCTGAGAAACGCCGGCATTCACTGACATGAACCGCGAACTACTACCGTCCGTAAGGACACGAATTCTCCCCTCACGCTGCAACAGAACTGAGCCGGCAGACCGTATGCAGGAAGCTTGGAGAGAAAGCTTTTGTGCCAGAACCTGTCAAACGCGTTGGCAATGTCAAGGCTGAAAGTTAATGACTCGCCACGCTTGTCGATAGCCTCACCCCAGATATGAGTCAAGTACGCCAAAAGATCACCCGTCGATCGTTTCGGTCTCAACGATCATTAATCAGAGAGTGATCCTCTAAGTAGCGGGTCAAATGGTTGTTAAGGACCTTTTCTAGGACTTTGCATAATACTGAGGTGATTGTTATTGGCCGGTAGTTGGCCGAGTCTGACCGATCCCCTTTTTTGGGCACCGGTTGCACGTTGGCATCACTCCAAGTCTCCGGCACACGCCCCAAAGAATACGAGCTTTTTTACAAGCGCGTGAGCACGGGAGACAACTCAGCTGCCCATTTTTTAAGTACAACTGCTGGGATGCCATCAGGTCCACTAGCTTTCCGGACATCGAGTAACTGCAATTCATCGCGAACCTTACGCTGCCTGATTTAAATATCAGGCATCGTTATGCCACAATGAGGTAATGATGGTGGCAGCGCATTGCAATCATCGATTCGGGAGTTAGTCGTATAGAGGTTTGCCAGTAAATCGGATTTCTCCTGTGACTTATGAGCTAGTGTTCCGTCTGGGTATCTCAGAGGTGGCGGCGAGGGCTGGCAGAAGTTCTTTTGCACGACCTTGGCCAAACGCCAGTAGCTGCGGGTACCCGTACGATGCGTTATAAGTTCCTGGCCAACACGTGCAACGCGCTGGGCATCCGCTCTGATGTAAGCCTTCTTACTGGCCTTGGAAGCAAAATTGGAGGCTGCTTTGAGTGAATCGACTTCTGGATCCTTAAGAGCGCGGCCTCTGATCCAAGCACGATATGCCGCTTGCTTACGCGAAGCAACTTCGGCACAGTCGTGATTGAACCAGAGGTTACGTGTGCCCTTACTGATGAGATCAGAATGAGGAATATAGTATTCCATACACATTTTAATTTACTCAGTAATGGTAACGGCACTGGCCGATAGGTTCCTGTCACTGAAGCAGCGCTGCTTTCAAGGGACGGACGCAAAGTAGTTACGCATAGCGTCCCAATCTGCCGACCCATAGTGCCAAATACAGCGCTTCACCACTGCGGACGCGGGGGCTTTGCCTGTGATGCTTTGGCAGAAATCAGGCAGTGATCTGATGAGCCAAGGGGGGCTCTTACCACATCTTGATAGCCCTGTGGATGGGTCGTGAGCAGAAGGTCCAGTAAAGAAGGCACTGGACTTGGAATATCTGGGATCCTGGTGGGCTGATCAACCAGTTGCTTCAAGTCATTCATGAGAGCAAATGTGTGAGCAGAGATCCCTGCATGGTTGGTTTTGGAGGAACTTAACCACAAATTGTGGTGAGCATTATTCCCCCAAAAATACCTGCATTAGGAAATTGTTCCTGCACGTCATCTGCTGCCCGACTAAGGTGCTCAAATAATCGAGTTGTCTCAACATAGCCGGTGTGGGATCTGTAGTGGCATACGTAGACTCTGGCTAGGGGACCAGAGTCGAAGTATACTCCTAGCATGGAGAAGGAGGGATCTTCCAAGCAGCGGAGACGGCGATAACAAACATCCGCCCGAACATACAGGCATACACCGGCTTTCGCTTTGGAGGTCTGTTCAAGCACGTAGCCAGGATAATTGAGGTAGCCTGTGTCAGCAGGCGAAAGTATTTGTGTCTCCGTCAGGAACAACAATGCTGGCCGTGCTGTCTCAAGATGGTGGTGGACAGCGTTGAGGTTAGAGTGGAGTCCGCGTATGTTGCAGAACTCGACCTCAAACAGCGTTGAAGGCGTGGGGGTGTGCACCGCTGTACGTCCAAACTTTGTTTTAAGATGCTGATGCTGCCATGATGGAGATGAAAAAGAGACGTAAAACGAGCGGACGTTGTCGCGACAACGATTGGGGAGGCATGTTTCCCCGAATGATTTCCTGCAGAGGATATACGCCGACCCGCCGGACGGAAGGGGTACGTCTACCGGTATAATATGGAACTTGCCATTATTCTTTAAGGCACAACATAAAACACTATAGAATTAAAGAATTTCCAAGAGCTTCGTAATTTTATTACTCACCGATGATTTTATCAGGGACCAGTCCAAGTTCCCGCAGGATGTCTGTCAGTCCGATCTGTACAGCAGCGATGCCAACAAACGAGTGAAGAATGTTATCGAAGATATTCTTGTCAGTGGAAGTTATGATATGAACTAGGTCAATTCCCTTCGGCTCGAGAGCACGCTGACATCTGGAAACGTATTTTCATGATAAAAATCGTATACAAGGTTTAATTAAAAATACATTTAAAACCTGTAGTATAAGGGTCGGTCCACTTGAAGTGATAAAAACGGTTTACTTGAACACTGTAGTTTTATTTGTCACTGAATACAACTTTACACAAATCCTTTTCTATTAAATCTTATGGCTCAATGTCACTTGGTCGATAGCCCGAATACCATTGCCAATGGAATTCGGGTAAACGGCTAGTGTAAATGAAGGGAGTCGAATACGCCCGTATTCGGATAGTTTTCGTTTTGGTTACCCGAAATCGTCTTCCAGCCCGTATTCCAATGTAATTATTGTCTCGGTGCCCGAATTCGAGTAATGTCGTTCGTGCATCCAAATACAAGCTAACGACCAAGTTTATTTGAGCCATTAGGAGGAAAAATCAAAAATATCTACTACGTAAATCATTTTTGCAATTGTGGCAATAAAGTTTAAATAAATAAATAAAATTGTATCAGTTTCATAGAACACTCGGTTGGAACGAAGTTAAAAATATTTATATACCAACCACTAATGGGCCCGCGTGGCGAGTCATTGCCCAAACTCCCTATTCCATAAAAAAAATATCCTACCCATCAGTGCCTTATAGGCCCAGTGCAGATTGGACCCAGTGCAGATTGGGCCCTGTGCGAATTAGTCCATTGCGAATTGCACCATTATGAACTAAGACATATTTATATAATATTCTAACTCAAGAATTGCGGCCACCTCTCCTTCGGGCGCCGTCTTAAAGGCATCCTTATGGGGCACTTAACCTGCGTCTATCTGTTCGATAACTGCAATGTATAATATTTATTAACCTTCGGATGGCGGCGGCAAAGATGGGTATGCGCATAAGTTGCGTGCCCATGCCGGCCCACTGCGAGCCCATTCCGCTGTACACGAACCACAGCGGGCGGCGCGCGTCGTCGAAGTACTCCACCTGCTCCGTCAGGCTCACCGTCTTCTGTTCAGCATCCGTCTCTATAAAAGTGAAGATACAAATATGAAAGTCTCATTCCGTTCCGCCCATGAAGGTTATTTTAATCGCTCCCTTTGTGTTGAATTCTAGGCCTTCTTATAAGCTATTATTTGCAATGTACTTCAGTTTTATCATATAAAAAGTATTCCCAGTTCATATAATAAAATGCTATTTTCTTTTCTTTTAGAAATACAAAAAAACCAGCATTCGTTGATTCAGTTTAGGCTTTTATAAGCACATGTGATAGATGAAAGCTATCATCATTCATTCGCAAATTGCCATCGGTTCGCAATTGTATCGGAGGGAGAAACTCAGCAAGGGCTGCTTTTTTCTTCCTGATTTATTACATAAAATATCGTTAAGTTGAAAGCTGATATCAAACATTTAAACATGTATTAAGGTCACCTTTCATTACATAATTTAAAATATGTAACAATAAATATACAAAATATTCAATAAACAATTTTCAAAATAAATGAGCAAGTATATGAAAGTTAGTGCAAGATTCTCTTCAATGTTCCTCTTGTCGATTGAAGTTAAATATAATTTTTAAAATTAAATCAAATAGAAAACATTGCACTCAGCAACGACACATTAATCCCGAAGGTAATGAGAGTTCGTCTAAAATGTAATATAGCAAATGGAAAGGAATCGTTTTATTACCAAGAATCATAAACCCTCTGGCGAGATGACCAGTTATATTTGCGCTGTGAAAGTTGTGAAAGAGCGCCAGTTCCTCAGGATCCACTGGACGAGATTTCAAATCGTCAAAAATTTGTTGGACAGCGCTCTCTTGTCTACCGGATATCATCAACAGATGAGGTATGCTCGATTTGTATCGCTTATAATCCTGAAATAATCACAAAAATATAAAACAAATATGTTGCAATTGCAAAATTTAAGCTCTGAAATATATCTTTTATTGTTTTCCATTAAAATGTTTAGGTTAGGTTAGGTTAGACGAATTACAGTCGCTACTCAAGATCAGAGCAAAAATCGTGCTGTGATATCGGATACCAAGATCCACTTTCGATTACTAATCAGCGCACTAAGTAAGTAACAGTTGTTACATGTAACAACTGTTACTTACTTAGTGCGCTGATTAGTAATTAATATGTATATTAACAATTACTAAATAGATGAGACGAACTAAACATGAACAACAGTATTACCCAAGCAAATAGTCTACTCAATTAATTTATCCCGAGTGTGTATTTTTGTTTACGTGTTGTGTGTAATCATGAAAATGTATCAACTGATAGAGAATTAATATAATTTTTAAATTAAAAAAAAACTGTTTAATTGGCAAAGATCTCCCGCAGTCATGATAGATACTAATAGTGCCACTTAGGGGTAATCTTAGCACAGTAGCTTCTAGAAGAATCATAGTAAAATCATTATTATTTTCCGATAAAATAGAAAATATCGATAAAGAAAATTCATGTATTTCATTAGGTCCTTGCAATTTTTCAATAAAAAAATTACCATAAAATAAATAGAGTTTGTAACATATTATAACACTAGTGCATTTTATATAATCGATTAAGCTGGGAGATCATTATAGTAATTTACTATGTTATCTACTGGATTGCTACTATGTACCTTGTTTTTGGGAATCCCCGATATTTCTGCACTGTTGCAAGTGTCATGATCCCGGATCATTAAATGGCACTGTTGTAAGTGAATCATGATCACGATTGTTGGGAACTCGTTATTGTCATTTAAAATGTAAATCAATTCTTTTTATTTCTCCCGAAAGGCATTTCCTCATTTTACGAGGGCAAATAATATGTCATAGAACTATAAAATGGAAAGTTACTTTTTTAATATTTACCTTACTTCCAATACTTGCCTTAGGCTTAAATTGTGAGTTGATTAGCAAATGTGTACTACACCCTGTGATGGAGTGGTTGTTGATGCCAATGTAACCGCGTGTGAAGGGTTCGTGCTCGGTGACGATGCATATTCTTCCATCCTGCAAGGCGGGCACATCGCTGGGAGGGTTGGAGTAGTGCAAATTGGCAGGTATTTTGCCAGTATGGTACGCCAGTAACACCTAGTCGTTAAAAAATGTTTTATACTATATACGAGTACTTGACAAAGAAAGAACCTCAAATCCCCACTATCGAGGTAAAAAAAAACCAGTCCAAATCATACAATTACTAAAAAAAAATTCAAAACTATTAAAATAGAAATGATTAATGCATTAAAATCAAGGCATAGAGGTAATATATGGAGTACCGCAAGGTAGTGAACTTGGTCCTCCTTTTTATATGAGTATTATAAAAGATTCACCTAAAATTATAAGCAGTCATATTTATAGCCTTCTGTTTTTTACCTTTATCAGTGAACATAGTCCCATCGAAGCCGCTGTGTATCCAATATTAGAAATCACACTTCCCAGTAACAACGATCCGCTTCTGTTTTTATTACAAAATACTTTGCTAATAGCTTCTAACTCAGCTTTGTCTGAATCAGGTATACCTGTTAGATAATAATTTATCTGTTACTTTATTTAAAATATTAACCTGCCAAAATTCACTTAATCAACTTAATGCCGCACTAAGAGATGTCAATTAAAGTTTACGCTTATCCAGGTGACGAGTTGTCTTCTTCTATTGCTGTTGCAAAGACTACAAAATAATGTTTCTATAATGCCTCTCCTACACTTGCGCGACTAGCCCTGACGACTGATTGCGTTAAAATTTGCGTCTAAATTTTGGCGCTAAAGTCGTGTTTCTATGCTTCTTGATCTGCGCCCGCAAATTGATCATCCGCCGAAACCCCCAAATTGCCAGTCAAGCTGTCGTTTAGCGTCTATCGCCAACAGTGCGATAGTTCGTTACGATAGCTGCTACTGACTTCCCTCTCGTGCATTTATCGTGATCATAAACGAAGCTTCGTTGCAAAGGCGCAGGTGTGGGAGAGGCATAATATTATGATACTACATCCAGAAATACAAACAAATTTTTGTTAAACAAAATAAAAAATACTAAAATTATTACCAATTCCCACAGCTTCCACATATTTCACGTCTTCAGGGGCGACTTTTGCTTCGTCATAGAAATCCATCAAGAATTTAGAGAAAATGGCTGGGTTTCTACAAAGTCCTAAATTTGGACTCCCACTCTTTGTGCTAATGTACTCGTTTTTTATATGGATTAGTTTAGCGTAAACTCTATAACAAAATACTTAAAAGCATTAGGTTTGGATAGATATTATCTCATCGTAGCATTTAGGTTATTCACGTTTTAAATTTCAATTCATTTATTTGCAAATTATGTGTATGCATTTCATGGTCTCGCGCTGGCGAGCCATCGTCATTGGGTATTGGTCGCGCGTCATAGGAAACGCGCACGCCCGGGCACGCTGTATTTTGACGTCAAAATAGATGCCTCGAGTTTCAATAGTTAGGACAATCTGTACAGGAGCTGAGCGCGTATCAGATGAACGCGATATCCATAGGCTTCATATACCAAAGAACATTTGAAGTCGCCCTCTACGTATCATTGGTTCATTCAAGGTTTTACAGATTCAGATTGTTCGATAATGGGGCCAAACCGGGCATGATACTCTAAAGATAAAATTAAATTTGATAACAGGCTATCGTTTTCATTTGCTATAGAGAAAATGAGACGGCTATACACTAGTTTGCTGTCTTTCGTGGGTAGATTTAGTTTGATGCGTCAAAATGTTAACTCTACAAACAGCAATGAATGCTGTACACGCAAAAAAATAATTTTAAATTTAATTTAGTTACAAATATCTTGCACAGGATTTTGTCACCGTATTAAAATATGATTAAGCTCGCTTTTGACTTCCAGGGCAATTATTTCATGGTCATCTCGTTCAATATTAGATTTACCACATCCCGCATTTTTTTTGTTATCAGTATGTGCATTTTTTTTAATTTGTAGATAAGTATGCATTAATCCCGTTTACGAGTTTCATTTAAAAAAAAATGCAAAAAAGCCTAAACAGCTTGTCAAGAAATGTTAAAACTATTCTGATCTCACATAAAATCCATTCAAACAGGTAAAAGCACAAGTAAACACATTACCTCAAAGCATTCTTCGACTTCTGTAAAAAGACTATTGGAATGGCTTCTGATAGAGCGCACCCATTACCATTGGCGTCGAAAGATCTCGTCTTTCCATCGGGACAGACACTGATAATTCTGTAATAAAGAAACGTTTTCATTATTAAAAGTTTTATCCCCTTAATGGCATAGAAATAATTTTAGGCATTTTTATTTATTCCTAGCTTATCTGATGTTAAGTGTAGAGTAATCTTTACACCTTCTTTATACTTAAATTAGCCTTATAATTGAACCAGTGCAAACACTCGTACATTACCTACGTAACATTGTTCTTGCTCCTGTTAAAGTTGAAACATAGGAGCAGTATTATTCGCATACAATAGGGGATGGGAGGGCACAGCGATGAACATAGCAGGCAACATGAATCAGTCTCATATTTTTTTGTATTCTCAGTACACATGAACATCTATCTAGTATCCCATAACACAAGCCCACAGTGCTTACTTTGGGGCTAGGCTACTTGGTGTGAGTGTTAAAAATATTTATTATTATTATTATTTATCTTTTGCGCTAGAGGACGTGAATGTAGTTGAGTAGGCGCATGCCAACCGAACCTAGCTTATCTAAAATCAAGCCAATAGTACCCCTAGTATGAGTTTTGATCGTTTTCGAATTCGATCAATCGTATCTTTTGTTTTGTTTTCGATTCTGTACCGAATCTGAACAGATTCTTTCCGAGTGCATATAATTAAGTGAGAGCTTTCCCACTAAGTGGTTCCCGTACAGATCTTTACCGAGCGGATACTTAGCTCGCTGTGCCGAGTGCTTCCAAATGCTACCGATTCATTCGACTCGCCTATGCTGTCACTCCTGCAAACAAAATGAAATGAATCCGTACTGACCCGATGAGTAAGGCACTTTAAGTTTTAAAAATTATTTTATGATAATATCATCATATTATTGTCTATCTATATATTTGTCACGTGTTTTTTTGTGTTGCTTATATATTATTTAGTTTGTAGTTACTGGTCGCCTCATGTAATTAGAACGCACCAAAGTACTAGGCCTCTATACTAAATTGTTTATCGATAGGAAATATCGACATTTTCTAAAATCGATCTTACCCTCATCACTTCGCTGCACTGAGTATATGATCTGACCTTGACGCGTCCAATCACAACGGGGCTGACCTCCCTGCACGCCGCCGACTTTGGCGATTTTGATTCCAAACAAAATTTGTGTGATGCGGACTCTAGTGGGGGTGCTCCGTGCACACAGATAAACGTAGGTTCTATACTCTTTGGACACAGATTAATAAGATTAAGTCTAGAGTTTTATATAGATTAGCTTTGTTTAAGGTTGAATTGGGAGTTTTTGGCGCGATTTCATCGAGTGCGGTTGGCGTCTTACTTTAATTATTCTTAAATTCGTTCAGAGTGGATATTGTGAAATAAAATTGGTATGATTTTGTGTTATAACCGTATGCGCAACTGACGAATTAGTGGAATCTTTGAAATATACGCTCTTCCGGTCTAGTGGACGTGAGAATTTTATTGTATGTTGGCTACTTCACAGAAGCTTATCGAAAAAGCCAACTCGATACATTCCATACTAAACATTCCAAGGAACATTAGAATGCGTCACTCCGACATTCTAATGTAAAAAAAATAAGATTAATAAAATATGACTAGGCTGTATGGGCATTGATCCCTTTGCCTTCCATAAAAAGAGAGAATCTTTAATAAAAAAAGGTTGAATAGGGGTGATGACGGGGTACAGTAAATGAAATTCTATTTAGTCCGTCAGTTAGATGATCTAAAAATAATGGACCCGTATTTTTTCTTTGGGCAATCAACCAAAAAATGACAAAGTTATAGCACGTCAAAGTTTGGGAGTAGGGGCTCGTGACGTCACTTTTGAGTGAATTTTCCCTTATAAGTGTACTCCAACGTGACGTCATGCGACTTTTCAAATCAATATATCTCTGCAAAGTTTATATTATGTGAAAAAAGAAAAAATACGTGTCCAATACTTTTTGATAATCTACCTGATAAACGAAGAAAAAAAAATTAGTCATCATCCCTATTGTATGAATGGCTCAGCTATCTCTTTTTTGGCAATAAAGAACGAAAGAGGCAAAACTTAACAGTGTGAAGTTCGTTTAATCGAGTCATCGAGCTTACGATATCGTGAAGACGAGGAGTGAAATTCTATACTCGTACTGCAACACAATTCGAAGACGTATAGTTTGATCGAATCAACGAAGACGATCATTCGTTTCGTATTAAAAAAACTCATACTAAGGGTACAGAACCTAGCTTAACAAAATCAGCCACAGAACAAAATCTCTGTCCGGCGCGGGCGTAAACCTATTCTCCCAGCCATGAGATCGGACGATTTTGCTAAGGTGAAACGATTTACCGTTTGAGATGAAAAATGAGTAGTTTGCGCAGAAGACAAAATATTAACAATAAAATTATAAATCGTATATCTACCTGCCAGTATGAATGGACGTTTGAGGGTGCAACAATAAGTTAGCACCTCCAACTATGGCTGCCTCACATTCACCTTTGGACATGGCCTGGTAAGCCAGGTCAAGGGCTGCAGAAGAGCTGCAGCAAGCTTCGTCAATAGACATGGAAGGTCCTCTCAGGTTGAGCCAGTAAGAAATGCGATTGGCGAACATAGATTTACTGCCCCTATTAAATTAATAAACCGAACGATTTACGTATATAAATATTATTATTACTAAACTTTGCCTGTTGATAAGGAATTGTGTCAAAGAAGTAACTTTGCCAGGACTTTGCTGAAAATTGCTCCATTTATAAAAAATAATCTAATGGGCCTTCATCTGCATCTTTAGTAAATAGAGAAGAAAACAAAATGAATAATTTGAGATTTGTATAAAATTCAATATATTTTAACGTACCCGGAGATACCAACGCCTTGCTTCAAGTTGTTAACATAGAAAATACTCTTTTCCATCTCAGAAATACAAATACCGATATATACACCCACTTTCTTTCCACTGAGATGATCCGGACTGACACCTAAAATAAACTTAGATGTTAGTTGTACCAGTAGCCTCCAGCTGGACATGGACAAGTCAAACTGTATTAAAAAACATAGTCATGTTCATTTTATAAGGTGATATACTTCATTACTAAATCAGACTAGATCTAGGTAGTGGGCTACCTAGATCTAGGTTGATTTAGTATGTCTCTACTAATATTATAAATAGGAAAGATTTGATTTCTTGATTGTTTGTTTGTATTGAATTTAATTGAATTGAATAAGCTCCGAAACTACTGGACCAATTTAAAAAATTCTTTCAAATTTAAAATCCTACATTATCCCTGATGAACATATGCTATAGAGTGTTTCCAAAAATGGTAAGGTTCCGTTTGAAAACTTCGATGATGTAACCCAATATGTGAAAAAAATAGCATAACATAACCTTATATCACGTACGCTGTGGAATTCATTGACAGTACAGCAAAGTGATGTAGAAAATATTTATAGAGGACATTAAAATCTACAAAGAAGTCCGCGATTCAATTCACTTGAATTAAAAAAAAAAACAAATAGGAAGTATAATACAACTATTTAGAACGTACTAATTTTTTTTAACGGGTGTTAAGTATTTTTTTTTGGCGTGGAGAAAGACGGGCGAAAGAATCTGCACAGCGTCAAATGATGTAACAATATTTACAAAATATTATATTGTTACAGAGTCAATTACCAAATTAGGTCATCTTTATCATAATTATAGAAACGGCCACTTAGAACAATTGGAACAGTTTAAACCTAAGCAGTTTTGTCTGAAATATAATCAGGCACCTTATAATACGCTTTATTCATAAGAACTTTTTTAATAGTAGCTTTAAATATATTGATGCTCAATTGTTGAATATTGCTAGGGACTTTATTGTAGAAACGTACACAAAGACCTTTAAATTAATTACTGATTTTGTGGAGCCTAGTAATTGGTACAGGTAATTTATTTTTAATTCTAGTATTAAGCCAGTGTTTATCACTATTTATAGGAAAAAAAAATATTATTTCGAACATTAAATTTTCATACATATACTGAGACGCAACTGTCACTATATCGATTTCTTTAAATTTTTCCCGTCAAAAAGTCTTCTTGTTTTTAGATTATAAATTGATCGAACAGCTCGCTTCTGCAATACAAAAATAGTTTGAATGTCGGCAGCATTTCACCAAAGTACAATACTGTACATAATCATAATCAAAATCATTTATTCAGTTTAGGCTGTTACAAGCACATATGAATGTCTAGAAGCTACGCCGTCGGTTCTTAAATCTACGGCGGGAGACCTTGTACTGAGAAAAACCGGCAAGAAAATCAGCAAAGGCTGTTTTTTTCTCCCTGTTATATGTCATTTACAGAGTCGTGTAAGTTGAAAAATGACTTTAGAGATGATTCGTGAAGTCACCTTTCATTACATAATGTGAAATTATACATTAAGTGTTCACCTGCATTTTGATTGCTGTGTCACACAGTATAAATACAAATAGAGTTATTTATAATAGGTATAATTAATCATTTAAATCTTAAATATCAAAGTAGTTAGCGCAGACTCATCTCCGCTGGCAGCACCCGACATCACACTATTAAAATATACTAATCGAGCAGTATCTACGTCAGTTAATTGGCGTATCTTCATTACTGCGTAGGCTGCAGAGCTAAGTCTGTTCGACAATTTCTCAATATGTGGGCCTAAAAAGTGTTCACCAGGTCCATATTCTTTAATAGTTACATTGGTTTGCGCCTGCTTTATATTGGGTAATTAAAATTTTAAACATTTAGTTTTACTTTCATTTCGAAGTTGATTATTAGAACATTAAACCAGTGAATTACTTTAGAGATGACATTATTCACATCGTCAATAAGGGGTTGCTTTCGTTTTATTTTAAATAAAACTGAAGTATCATCTACAAACAATGCTATCTCATGATTATCCCTTACAAAGTAAGGTATGTCATTTATATAAAGTAAAATAAGAAAGGACCAAGAATTGAGCCGTGAGGAACACCCCATCTTTACAAAGGGACCGGGAGATCTTTTCCATTGATGTTAACTCTCTGGATCCTATCGCTCAAATATGACAGAATGAGATTTAGAGTGCTACCTTTAAATCCATAGTGTTGCAGTTTTCTGATTAGTGTTTCATGAAAAACGCAACCAAAAGCCTTGGACAAATCACATAAGACACCTAAAGTGTCACGTGACTCCTCCCAGGCATCAAAAATATGTTGTAAGAGCTCAACACCAACATCGGTTGTAACACGACCCCTTGTAAAACCAAATTGATTTGAATAAAGTAAAATCACTATTCCAGAGTGCTGGACACTTACCGGCATTTAAAGAGAAATGCTCTGTTATTTATTTGTTTTCATTCATTTTGCTTCGATTTTATCTATTTTTAGTTTATTTATTTTATTGACATTTGTGACATTTTAATGTTTTTTATCCGTTGTCATGGCTACCCATGACACGGATACTCTCTCCAACTACATCTATGACTATTCAACCTCCACAGACCACCTACTTTGATTCTTTTTAGTAAAGAGAAATGCCGGTAAGTGTCCAGCACTCTGGAATAGTGATTTTCAGTACAGATGGAATTATAATACGTATTTACAAAATGATGAATAGTGAGTAATATTTTTTTGAAATTGTGTGTTTCCAGAAATACATAATAAAATATATGATGATCCCTGATGAATATCGATGATGTTAGATGATAAAATGTGTGAAATGGAACCTATGATAGTCGAAACTATGGGACGATCCCTGAGGTACGTTACAATAGGTCTTAAGTTCGTGGGGTCAGATGTGATTGAATATATCTTACTATTACAGTTAGAACTTTTAAAGGGAAACAATGCTATCATACACGATTTTTGTGTAACTTTAACCGTTTACCCAGCGCACGCAATTGAAGCTCACAAATGGAATATTTTTATCCGCATTTTTTTGGAAAATTTTTCATGGATGCTCCGCTCCTACTTACTACTATCAAAATAATTATATACGAATTGGACCAGTATCTTCTGAGGTAAGCACGTTCTACCAAAAAAAAATGGTAAAACACACTTTCCAGCTTTATGATATTAGTAAATACATCTAACTACTTTTCGTGTTAAAATATGCAATAGTAACGCCGGTCCAAACAAGGCACATTATCACTACAATTCAAGACTATATCAGGCAGGCTGTACCATCTAGCCCATTGGCTAGATCCATTGATCTACTGACAGAAAAATATCTCCGTAGATCCATAGCTTGAAATCAGGATCTATAGAGATAATATGAAATAAGTTCTCACTTGATCCAAAATGGATCTGGCCAATGTATCTACTGAGAATGAACGATTTTTACCTGCATCATAAAGGGCTTGATAGGCCTGCTCCAAGATTTTTCTAGACATGGCATCCAGGCTTTTGCTTGTGTTATAGTTGACCTTAAAGAACTGAGCGTCGAAGCGTTCTAGTCCGGGAAGAGTGCCCGTGTACTTGGACGCTCCGGGGTAGTTGGATGTCCATCGCATAGGCTCTGCCGTAATGGGATTTTCCTGAAGAATATCATAACAGATGTTTTTTTGTACATAACAGCACATAGATTTAACCATGGGAAATACAATTCATCGCGGTAAAAGTTGATGTGGTCACAAAAATGAATAGGTGCGTGGAGCACTCTGAGAGTTTCTGGATCTATTCACTTACAATTAAAGTATTAAATTACAATAGGAATGATGACGGGGTAAATTTTTCGAACTATTTAGTCCGTCAGTTAGATTATCAAAAAATAATGCAGAAGTATTTTATTCTTTTGACATACAACCAAAAAAATTAGTAAGAAAAAGCGCGTAAACGGTTGGCGGTGGGGGCTCGTGACGTCCAAGACGTGACGTCATACGACTTTTGAAATTAATAAATCTCTGTAATGTTTTGAATGTGTGAAGAAAAAACATTATCTGTTCATTTCTTTTTGATAATCTACCTGATAAACCAAGAAAAGAAAAGTTAGTAGTCATCATTATTGTATATTGTTTTAAACTTTCATAGTCACAATGGTAATACGTGGGACACTCAGAAAGTTTTGAGAATCTAAAAAACTAACTTCTATGAAAAAAAAAAATATTAAATCTTTTCAAAGAACTCTCCACCAGCCTCTACACAAAGTTTCATGCGTCTGAACCAATTTTTAAAACATTTTTTCCAGTCCACAGTCACCTCTTCCACGGCCTTCTCAAACGCTGCTAGCGCTTCTTCCGGCGATGAAAACTGTATCCCATTGAGCAGATTTTTTATTTTAGTGAAAAAAAAGATGTCACACGGAGCCAAATCAGGACTGTAAGGAGGGTGCCCCAAGACTCTGACTGGTGTGGAGTCCAGGAAGTCCTTCGTTTTGACCGCAGAGTGCGCGGGCGCGTTGGCGTGGTGAAGAAGGACCCCGCGGAGCCCGGTGTTAAGTCACTTGTTGCTCATTGCAGAAAAAAATTCTGGCAGGCATTTTGTGCTATACCATTCGGCGTTGGTGCTGCTTTGGTCTCAAAGTGGAATTGAAATTAGGTACCCCGTCAAAGTGAAGAAACCTAGCGATCAATATTTTCCCTACGCCCCTCGATCGCTTCACTTTCGTAGGCGTTAGTTCATTTTGAAACAACCAAACTGTCGACCGACTTTGTTTCTGGATCGTATTGATAAATCCAGGATTCATCGCCTGTCACAATATCGTAAACGCGCCGTGACGAGCCTGCATCAAATTTTTGTATCAATCCACACGGGCCTGCTTCTGAGCTTCGGGGAGGTTGTGCGGCACCCAGCGGGAAACTATCCTCCTCACGCAAAGGTGTACGTGCAAAATCTTGTGAACACTTCCTGAAAGAAAAACTTTTTTTCGCAAAACTTTCTGAGTGTCCAGCTATAACTTATATTACTAAAACATCCCTAGTGTGTTATTTTTATTCTGATAAAATAAAATAATTGTATGTCGCTATCAAAATGAATTTAACTGAAGTCTGTTTTTTAATCTTAGAGACAAAAAGGCATTACCTGTGTTGCCGGTTTATTGCAATTCTTAAAAAGTGATGCACTACTATCGATAATTACGCTTAAAAAGATTTAATATCGTTTTTTACTCTACTTTGCCCTGCCCCACCAGTCGTTTCACTGATGTATCTCCTCAGCGTGAGATGTGGCCAAAGAAAGTGTGAACACGACCTTGTACGATGGAAGAACGACGTTGATTGATAGACAGTTCCTGGGGGATGGCTTCATTGGTTCGAAATTGTTTCCACTGTATGCCAAGCATTATCCTCCAGCAACATATTTCTAGAGCGTCCATCTTCTTTTTCTCACTCTCTTTGCAAGATCCACGTCTCAGCACCATAGAAGAATATGGGAAACACTAATGCCCTGACGAGTCGTGTTTTCGTGACTTTACTGATGTACCTATTTCTCCATATTTTTTGAAGCTTGCCCATAGCTGACCTCTTGATTGCCATGCGCCGCTTGACTACATCTGCATATCCACCATTGTTTGAAATCAGTGCTCCAAAGTCGACATCGTAGTTCGCGATTTTAGTGACTTCTGGCGAGTTGTTATTAGCACACTCGACAATCATAATCTTAGTCTTACTGCGATTTATTTCCAGACCAAAATCACGAGTAACTTGCTCCATTTGGCTTAACAGATATTCCATGTTATTGGCGTTTGCTGCAAACAGTGTAGTGTCGTCCGCATACCTCAGATTGGAAGACTTATAGCCTCCAATACTGATTCCGTCCGACCAAGTTCATAATCATAATCATCATAATCTTTATTGCTCCCGTTGTTCCCGTTTTCCAGACTTTGTTAAACAGGGTATGAAACACTTTAACACCATACTCTCCCGAATCTTTGATGGTTTCAATCGGTATAGCATCCCTTGCTCTGGCTTCCCGCTCTCAAGTCTTTTGATGGCAGCTCGAATTTCGTCTTTAAGAATAAATGGCTCTTTTTCTTCGTCCTTAAGCTCTGTTGGAGGAAAGATATGAGTGTGGGGGTCTTTTAAAAAATGACTGACAGTACTCTTTCCAAGTCACAGTTATTGCGCCTATTTCAATCAGGAGCTGGCTTTGAGGATTTTCTATAGCCCATGTTACATGCGCTGGCCTACGTTGTAACCGACTAACTGTGAACTATACTACTATTCCCCCTACTACTCCCACTATTCCAACGTGAACAAAGAAATTTGGTAACTCATTTCTTTGTCAGACTATCCGCAAATGGATTTCTTTGCCCTCTTACGTGTGTGAAGTAGCAATTCTGCAGGCCGGCAAAATGAGGATAGCTGGTGTGGCAAGTAATACTGCTGTACCAGCTATCTTCGCGTCTAGACTCCTCCGTCACCTAACCTCTGGTGGAGTCATTTGTCGAACCTATTTATAAAAAAAATATCTATAGCAAAGAAAAAAGATCTTGATGATTTGTGCAACAAAGGTGTCATACCTGAAGAGTACCATGGATTATACAGATCTTTGGCTACAAAAACAAGCCAATCTGATCGCTTTCCTTCAGAAACCATTCTGCTGACTCATCATGTGAAAGCGAGTCAAGTGCAGATGAATAATACTGATTTTTTTACACTTATTTAATTAGGAATACTATCGGCCGCCAACGAATTCGTCCGCTTTAACTTTAATATACTTTTTTAAACTAGATATTTTAGATAGAAATACTACTGCACCAGAAATATCGAACCTACGGTATCTAGATAAATGTACATCATAAACCGAAACTATTTAATATACCTATATTGACTCAAGGATCTCTGATAACTTATGGATGTATCATTTCGGCGATACTTTCATTCCCTGGACTCTTATCAGCATTACTGTCCACCGAATCAATTGTCCCCATATCACTGAAATGGTATACTTACTATTTGGCGGGAATCCACAATGACGTTGTTGCGCGTGCGTGTGCTCCAGCGAAGGCGGACTGGCTCGAAGTGAGCACTGACAAACGGGACACAACAACGCAATGTAGATGAACCTATTTCACAAAAATGATAACCTTTTCCAGGACAAAAGTTGAGTGCTTGTTACATGTATAAGGAAGAAGGTAAACAAACAGTAGTAGGTTTTGTTAATAGGCTATATTATATATTAATGATATAAAAGTTAATTTCAATCGAAAAAATAAATGTAACTACAGGGGAAGTAATTTTACGAGAGGAATTGGGTTTCAGACAGGTTCCCGTGATGATAAATGCCACTTCGTATTTTTTTATTTTATGGAATAGAGCCCATTACTCAATAATTCTTTTTGACAAGGTTGAGAAGTACCTACTTAACTAAGAAAAAAAGTCAAAATCATTTATCAGCACATTGCACTGCCGCTCTGAGCAATGCCATGTATTTTTTTTTTGCTTGGGGAGTTCACCTCTACATGATTCATTGGGATTTAATTAATATGTTTCGGGCATTTTTTTATAACCTTTTTCATATAATAATCTTGACAAAAAAATGATTTCAATTTTATTATATGATAATGTATAAGAATATGTATTGCATATTGCAAATATATGTTTTAAATGCAAATTTTGCGCTGAACACGATGAAATAAAAATAAATGTTAAACTTAAATTGAAATCAATTTTTTTATCAAGTTTATTTTTCGTTATCTTTCTTAGTGGTTATCATTTTAAACCAAATACGCAGAATAGTTCACCCAGTAATGTTTATTAGTGATTAATTAAAAAAAAAAACATTGTTGCCCAGCGCGCGATTCAGCAATGAATGAATAAAAGTGAGCAACTCATTCCATAGCGCGCGATCTGTGTACGGAAGAGACGGTTAAACATGGATAGCTGATTTTAGCTGAAGCATATATTTAAAGTAACGATGTCTAACGCTAATTAATTATAGTGGAAGAAAAGAATAAGCACCGATAATTAATTTTAGCTGAAGTAATTTTTAAAGCGTTGAATAAAAGTTATTAAGTAAAAACAAATTGAAATTCGGTATCTTATTCAATTGCCTCAAATATTACGTAAATATACTACATATTTGTTTTTGAAAAAAGCGACTTAGATCTGTTAATTTTTACTTCATCTAGTGAAATTAAAATATCTGGTAAAATTCAAATAGTCAAAGCCAATTACAGGATACTCACAGGATATTTACTCCAAGTGTCTACATGAAAAATGAGTTTAAATCCGAAACTTGGTTTCAGCGGTAATGCATTTACAAACTTAAGTGTTTTGCATGGGTTTATTAGGTTTTAAATCAATAATTTTGGAAATAATTTGCAGTTATTCTTATTTATTCATTAGCTATTTCAAGAAGTATGCGTCGTAGAGCATAATTGGTTTTACCTGTAGATGCGGCTTAATGAGACGGGTTGATTGGTATTATAAAAGTTCAGTAGCGGAAAAGTGCAGATAATCGGTTTTGGCACTAAGGGGACGATTTACTAACTAACAAACTTCTCGCTTTCTAAACGCGCTTTGTTCGTTATTTCGTATATGTACATATTAATAATTATAATTAGTAATAATAATTAATAGGAGTAACAATTAATTAATTCTTATTGAAAAATAATGAACAAAAATATTTACAAAAAACAAACGCAATTTATTTAAATTCAAAAGGAACCCTTCTACTACAAAGGCGATGTTCTTGGCTATATCATTTCGGTGGTAATTTTTTACCATTTCGGTAGACAATTTTCATTTCAGTGGACTGCCGAAAACTCATCCTTAAATATTTCAGTAAGTGGTGATTGTTTAATTTGACCCGTAGGATAGTTTAAGAATGAAAAAAAAAAACATTAACAATATATTTTATTTTTTTATTTTGCACCTTTAATTGCATTTTGTGCAAAAACTATAGAAGATACGCCAAAATATGTTGATACCTTTTTTGTAGGAAATTAAAATTTCTACAACTTTGTACTAGGAACTTTTTCTATTTTCCCAGCCAGTCGCGAGATATTGACAAAAAACTCGTTTTTGCACCATTTCGCATTTTTGCACCTATTGCCGTCAATGTAGCACCCTGCAATTTTAATATATTAATCTACGAACCCTTGCGGAAATTTTCGCATTGGTTGCAGGTGATCAACTCAAAATGGCAAAGTTAAGCCTTCATTGACTGGACTATTTCCAGAAAATAGATCTCAAAATGGCCTATGTATTAATGTAACTAGTTCTGCCGTTCACTTTGATGCAGTGTTGCCGACCTCTTTTATAGATTTAGTTTTTATGGTTTTTTGAAGTATTTTTGAAGTATTTGCACAAGGGGTGGGGATGTTGCCGACCTCTTTTATAGATTTAGTTTTTATGGTTTTTTGAAGTGTTTTGAAAGGTATGATTTTCACTGTCCACTCAATGCCAAGATGCACGAATCTTGGTGTTGCCGACCTTTTTTATAGATTTAGTTTTTATGGTTTTTTGAAGTGTTTTTAAAGTACTTGCACAAGGGGTAGGGATGTTGCCGACCTCTTTTATAGATTTAGTTTTTATGGTTTTTTGAAGTGTTTTAAAGTACTTGCACAAGGGGTGGGGATGTTGCCGACCCCTTTTATAGATTTAGTTTTTAAGGTTTTTTGAAGTGTTTTTAAAGTATGATTTTCACTGGCCACTCAATGCCAAGATGCACTAATCTTGGTGTTGCCGACCTCTTTTATAGATTTCGTTTTTAAGGTTTTTTGAATTGTTTTTAAAGTATGATTTTCACTGGTCACTCAATGCCAAGATGCACTAATCTTGGTGTTGCCGACCTCTTCTATAGATTTAGTTTTTGTGGTTTTTTGAAGTGTTTTTAAAGTATGTCAATATATATAAAGTATTCGTAGGCTGTTGGCTTAAAATCGTCTAATTTAAGAATTACCTTATTATATAGGATCTCGCTTAATTCTTTCACATTGTTAGACATCGGAAACAACCCCGACATTCCAGAGATGACCACAGATTCTCCATCTTCTGTCCCAGAGGTTCCTATCTCTTGGCAAACTGTCTCCTGAGTTTTCATTGCTTTGTTATCCATTGATAAAAAGTTACTGACTGCGTTTTGCAAAATTGAATTAAAAGGGAATGGACTTTTTAGTATTCCATATCGTATTTATAGTCTGCCAAAGAGGTACTTATGATATTAAAATTAATATTTAATTTATTCATGATTTTCAATTCAGAATTTGCTTACAACAAAATTGAACAAGAGTCCGGTGATTCACTTAAAAACACAACAAATAGGGTTGAATGAGTCGAAGCAAAATATTCGAAGTGTTTTTTTTTATACAATAAAAAAAATAGTGCCTTTGAAAGGGCCAGATTAGAAAGTTTCACATTGCCTTAGAATGGAAATGAAAGTAATGACTGGTAATAATCATCGTTTGTTAATGACGCCCCATGTCCACCATCTTGTTTTTTTTTAATCCAGCACTAACTTGTAGTGATAAACGGATCCTAAAGATATCGTGGATTAAAAAAACGTGGATACATACATACATGGAACTCTGACCTCCTTTTAGGGTTCCGTACCTTAAAAGGAAAAAACGGAACCCTTATATGATCACTTTGTTGTCCATCCGTCTGTCAAGACTATTTTTCTCAGGAACGCGTGGAGGTATCAAACTAAAAATCATATCTAATAATCAAGTCTACTGTCCCTTGGAGCTGTGAAAAAATCAAACTTCTAAGCCAAAGCAATCAAAAGATACAGCCGTTTATGAAAATTTCCGCAAATTTTCGAAACTCGCACTTGAATCAAAACCTACAGGGTAGGTATCTCCCGTGAACTTAGAATCTTGAAATTTGGTACGAAGTAACGTCTTATAGTACAGATAAAGGAAAAATTGCGAAAACCGTAAATTTTTAATTGCATACAATAAAAAATATTTTTTAATAATTATTAAAATATACCTACAGGTTTGTACGGAACCCTCGGTGCGCGAGTCCGACTCGCACTTGGCCGGTTTTTTTCATTGTCACAGACGTCATATAGAATACCTTAAACCCAACTGCAGCATATAGACATGATGTAGAAAACCTAAAATCCTATATCCTTATGTTTTTATTTTTTAACTATTTAACTGCTGGATGTTTAAATCTAAAGAAATGTTAACTAGAAAAAAAGGCATTTTTGTGTTTTCTGGTCTTCATTTATGGATACTTTGTTACAACCCGGAAATAATATCTCAATTACTTTGAACACATTTGGCGACTATTGGCTTCTAATCAAAAACTACATGTAACTTTGTATTAAAAGGGACAAATAATGTCTACGGTTCAAAGTATTTGATATATGACCTGTAAATTGAATTGACTACTTACGTTGCCATACGGCAACATCAGGTTCTAATATATTAGTTTCTTAGGTTTTCACGCACATCACTCATTAAATAAAACTGGTTTTTACGAGTTAATGCACGAAACTTTATTTATTTATTGACGATTGGAAGGTCTGAAGACAAAGCGCGCAAGGAAACTAACATCGTTGAATTTCCTGAAGAGATGCCGAGACCACAATCTCATCCCACCTTGTGTGAGAATCACACCAAAAAAAGACATACGTGGGAGCGCTAAGATCTTACCAGAGGCAAGTAAAAAGCTACTTCGAAGGATTATAGAAGGGCATCGTTCGGATTTATATAAAATCAACGGCACCATTGAGGTTTTGTCCAGTGATTTGAGGAAACAATTGTCATCGGAGGATTATCATAATTGCATTCTGATACTTAACAATCGTGTGTCATCAAAATTCAACGAGTGCAAACATAGACAAATAGATAAATATCAAAGACTATCTCCCGTTCAGGAGAAAATGATTCACCAACATACCGTTTGGCTAAACACGTAGCAAAGTTACTTTCACCACTGAGAGGTAGGTAACACAACAGTCTTTGTGAAAGATTCATACCAATTTGTCAATGAGATTAGAGATCAACGCCTCATGGACAATGAAATCATGGTCAGTTTTGATGTTCAGTCCTTATTTACATGCCTACCAGCACAGGACTGCATTGAAATCACTAAGAAGAAGCTACTTGATTAATATGCCTATAGAATATGCAGTATTACTGGAGCATTGCCTTACATCTGGCTACCTGTTATGGGGGGATGACTTCTATGTACAAATGGAGGGCGATGCAATGGGTTGTCTCTCCTCCCTGTCTCACCTGTTGTCGCCGATATTTTCATGGAAGACTTCGAGAAGAGGGCTCTCAGCGTAGCACCTGTCACACCCAGGCTATATGAGCGGTACGTAGATGATACTTTCACAATCCTCCCAATAGATCAAATTTCTGCTTTTTTAAATCACTATAACTCTATACACCCCAACATCCCATTCACTATGGAGTTAGAGGCAGATAGTAAACTAGCTTTTCTAGATATTTTATTAATCAGGAATCCTGACCAAAGTTTAAGTCATACTGTGTATCGTAAAGTGACTCATACTGATGGGTACCTCAATGGTGACTCACACCATCACCCGAAACAATTAACTGCCGTATGAAACTCTTTGTTTCAGAGAGCACGGGGTGTCTGTGACAAACAACACCTGGAAGCTGAACTTCAGCATGTCGAGCAAGAACTGAAGGATAATAACCTGAATGTACCACGTCGCCGTCACAGTCGCGCCAAACCTAGCACAGTCGACCGACAACCTGCTATTCTACCTTACATGAAAGGGGTCACTGACAAGATTGGGAGGATTCTGAAGCGTGCTTCAATCAATACATACTTCAAGCCGCCAAAGAAGATCAACCAGTTTCTACAACCGGTCAAGTGCAATATACCCTTTCAAGTTGCTGATGTCTACAAACTTGAATGCGACTATGGGCTCTCCTACATCGCGCAAACAAAGAGGAGTATAGGGACTCGGGTAAAAGAACATATCGCAGATATGAAACATAGGCGCGAAAATAAGTCTGCAGTGTGTGAACATGCATTAGGGGGACCAAACCATTACATTAGATTTGATAAACCACAGATCCTTGCAGCTGAGCGGCGGTTCTTTCCTCGAATGATGCGCGAGGCTATTGAGATTAAAAAATTTCCAAATTTCAATAGGGAAGATGGTTGGTATATACCACCAGCTTGGGAACCTATTATACAGGAGATAAAATCCCAACCCCGAGCACACACTGCAAGACCATCAGATACTATTAGTTCTTTTTGTTTGCATAATTTAACATAAGAAGGAGATAGAAAGCCTCTCTTGAGTTTGTTTCGCCGGTTCTTCTCAGAAAGGTCTCCCAATTTTGGAACCGGTGGTAGTTTACGGTAGTTAGGGTCAAATAAAGAAACTCAAAATTACAAAAAAGAATTTTAAATAAAATACTTTATTAAGTAAATTAAATAATAAATTCATACATAGACAATAAAACTTTAAAAATCGAACAATGAAATAACCAAACGCTCAATAAAAGTCTTTCGAAGGTAGCTCGAAAAATTAAATAAAAGTTTGATTCTGATGACGTAGCCTGTAAAGACTACGAAACGTCAATAAATAAATAAGGTTCTAATATTTTTCGGGCACGGCAATTGGTGATTACAAATCCAGGGACCTGGGGGCATGCTCGATTAGTGCGGGGTAGATCGGGGAGTTGTTTTACCTGGTACATATGGAAGACGAAGCACGGCCGACTATCCACCATGGACCTCAGTTGCGACACCAGGTGCTTAGCCGACTAGCGCGTTGACCAGAGAAGCCCAGGATCGTATCGGAGGGCGTGGCTGCTGGGCAGCCACGAAAGTGAGGGGTAGTCGCCTATGCTTGCATGAGCGAATGCCTGTCTGCCAACGTGGAGGGTCAGCGGCCTTCTGCTCTACGTAACAGGGCAGCACCTTGCTTTCCACCGGCTGAATGCAGCATGCTGGATCATACGTCCTTGGGCGTATGATGTTTTTATTTATTTTTATTTTTATTTATTTAGGATAATTAACAACTGTGCAATATTGTACGTAATGTAATAACACTAATAAATATATTGATGTCATTACACAACCAACACTGTTATCCACTAAAAATATATCCCAACACATAGATTATATTTTTATAAAACATGATAAGTTTGCAATATCTATTCTGCTTGCAAATCGATGGTATAACTAAAAGAAAAAGTTACAGAACACATTTATTTTATAGATAGGTCCGACAAATGACTCCGCCCCACCTGAGTTAAGTGAAGGTGAAGTCCAGATGCGAAGATAGCTGATACGGCAGGTCTACCTGCCACACCAGCCATCCTCACCCTGCCGGCCTGCATGTTGCTTCTTCACGCCTCTTTTAAAGGATCCCAGGTTGTAAGAGGGAGGGAACACGTGAGCGGGCAGAGCATTCCATTTACGGATAGTGCGACAAAGAAATGAGTCACCAAATTTCTTTGTACGCGTTGGAATTGTGGCCACAGTAAAACGGTGATAACGTAGGCCAGCGCGCGTGTCCTCTGAAAGAAAGGTTAAGGTGGGATAAGAGAGAATAACTCCTCAGAACACTCGCCGTGGTACAAACGATAGAACGCGCTTAGTGACGCCACGTCACGGCGTAATTGAAGAGGCTCAAGGTGTTTAGTCACCTCCTCATCGCTTATGATGCGGATCGCGCGCCGTTGTAACCTATCCAAAGCATCGAGCAAGTACTTGGCGGAGCCATCCCAGAGGTGCGAGCAATATTCCACGCAGGACCGCACTTGCGTTTTGTGCAACAAGCACAGTTGATCGGGCGTGAAAAAACGCCGCACCTTGTTCAGGACTCCAAGTTTGCGTGAAGCTGTTTTGATCACGTTTTCGATGTAGTCCTTTGGATTCAGATCTGAGCGAACTTCCATACCGAGCATGGAAATGTTGCTCTGCAGCGGTAGTGTTGTGCCCTGAAGAGATGGAAGGGGAAGGAATGGCGATGTTTTTGCCGTGAAAGCGCAAGCCTGAGTTTTCTTGGCATTGAACTCAACGAAGTTCCTGGTACCCCATTCGGAAATGTGGTCCAAAGCCTGATTGAGTTCAATGACAAGATTTTCCCGTTTCTCCTTGGTTACTGTCTGCCCAGCCGCTGCTTGTCCGAGATACCCCGCATGCACTG